ATATATTTATCTTATATTTAAAAGATTACATCAGATAATGCTACAAAAGGAATAAATATAATGAAAGTTAATGAAATAGATTATTTTAATGGATTACGATTTCCTTATTCTGTCTAAAATCTAGTTATTTATCAATAATTGCACATCCCTCTTATGCTTACATATTATTAATACATTTTTATTAACTTTATACGAGTAATTGGACTACTCCTAATTTCTTTAACAAACACTTTTAAAGCAAGGTTATAATTAAAATTGTAAGTGATTTAGACAAAGAACAATTTATACTTCTCAAAAATCTATTATCACAGCCAAAATCTTACTCCATATCAGTTCTAGATAAACATACCCTTTTCATAAATTTTTCCTCTAGCTTTCAGATACAAACTTCCCCTTTACTTTACCCCCCGCCCGTTAAAAAAAAACGACAATACAAGTAAATAAATACAACAACCTTAATTTTATCACCGAAAAGGAAAAATTTGCTTCTTATGTATTAAACCTCTATAATTATATTATATAGTATCAACTACTACTACGTTATATAAGAAGTTTCCTGCATAGGGAAATAATGGCATGTACCTACCGTTACTAATTAAGTCATAATTATTATGAATTAAATATCACTAAATTATCTCTGAATTCTACTTAATTACAAGTGTTAAGATTTATTTTGGATATACTGTCAGGTCCGCAAACAGAGCGCTTTCGTTAGTTAGAATAAAGTAATATTCGATACCTCAATATCCTTATCTTGCAGAGGTGTCAGTTGATCCAATACATTTGGTTAAGTAACGTGTTCGGCTAATCTCAAATGACTACAAATAATATTTATGTTGTTGCTAAATTTTGCAACTCTAAATTTTAAGTAAAATTAAATTAGTGATAATATACACTAATTAAGTATAATTATACGTATATTACATAGACTACAAATAGATATTATTTCTTATATGTATACACTTATTATTTTAATATTTCCTGCTAAATCATATAAAACGCAACAGATAATAAACTCTAAGCTAAACAATCAAATCTCCAAATGGCAACTCTATTAGTACGAGTCGGTTCTGAATATAAATTAATGATGGTCTTATTGCAAAGTAAATTCCACACTGGAAATAAGCTCTTAATAAAATACGAAGACGTGATAGAAGCTAGAAAAGGATTTATGTTTTTGATGTATTTACAAAAGAAACGTTTTAGATGGAGCAAATATAAAGCAGGAATTTAAAATTTAATAAAGCCATAGTGCACGCATTCACATCAGTATATGCAAATACCATAATAGTACTTACCTGCATATATACAGTACTCGTGCATGCGTGTGGAAGAGACAAGTGAAATAGGACAGATGTAGAGGATACCTGTTACCTTAGACCAGCGGTGGCCAACCTATATCAAAGCAAGTGCACAATGAAAAGTTCTTGCGCCGCGGCGGGCGTTGTTTTTTTAGAGCTTTAATATCTAACCAATTTAATTCCTGACAAATATGAGCTAAAAAAAGATAAATCACATGCATAGCCAACAATGACTTCAAGAAAAGGAAAGAAATTATTATGTTTAAGAAAACTTTAAAAACATGTATTTAATTTTAAAATAGTATTTTGTATAGCCCAAGTGACCGCGGGCGCAGGGTCGGCCACCACTGCTATAGACGATATTTTATACCTCTGAAGTTCTACTAATTTTGTACTTTGGTTGCCATGAGACGTCATTATAGTCTCTCACTTAACCTACTTATTATAAACTTACAATATTAAATCTAAGATAATTACATGCTATCTATCTAATAAACCTAGTTCTAGACTTATCGCTGCGGCTGGTGTTTACTTGGTCAAGGGTCAGGCAGAACTATGTAACGAGAAAATAGAGCTAGTGTTGCATTTCCTCGCAGCCAAAATCATACCGCATCGACGGTTTATTAGACAACTTGTATGTACTAGCCACTAACTTTATCATCCTATCCCGTGTACAAATTAGTAATGATAATAATAAAATGTTTTGAAACGAACACTTAATTTTCACATTTAGTCGAACTGTTTCACAGTTCATCACACTTATAAAATGAGTAAAATTAAATGAGTTCGTGGTTTTAAATATAATGTTAATTTAGAGGAAAGGCAGTCAACCACCACGAGCAAACATCAACACATGCACCCATTCACTCAACGGGGGACGTTAAAGTACCTAAAATCTACTTATTTACTTATTTTTACGTTACTACCTAAACCTCGCGTTACTGGTTAACTGTTTAAGTACTAATGACTCATTAGTCCTGTATATTCTCTACTTTTTCTATTACCATAAGGCACGGTGTGAACGCCACATACGAAAAGAAAGAACTAAGTAACTAGGCACTATTAATACTACAACTACCCTTACAAACTATTACGTTTATAAATGGATGATGGTGATAAAATTATATTATAATAATATATGCATGAATGATATATATTGTATTATGTTATGTTGAAGTATGTTGAAGTTAATGCGGATTCAAGGAAGTCGCTCGTGGTCGTTCGAACGTCACCTATTATTTGCATATCTGTTTCATACTGGTTTGAAACATAAATGGTATTGTTACATGGAATTTTTAAATATCGATAAAATTGCGTGTACCTAAGTTTAATTTTTAAAGTAATAATTACTAACGAGCTAAAAACGAGCTGCGGTTTACCTGATGTTAAGCGACTAAACGCAACAATTTTCCTTCATAAGTTTTTCCGCTAACGTTTTAACGCTTGTCTGTTCTCTCGCAGCTCTAAATGCAGAAGCAATTCTTTTCTTAAAACGCTGATTGAATACGGGAAGTTTGGTGGGAATCTGTCCAGGATAACACTTACAATTGTATAGGGGACTTTCGTGCGACTTCCAACTGGCTCGGCTATCCTTCCTTTCCGAATACGTGCATCCCTAAAAATCATATCGGTTACCGATATAGTTATAATTAGTTACTACTAAACTTAATATTTAAACACTTAGATTTTTGACAACGAAAGTGGCATCAAATATATAGTCAAATGTATTACAATTAGACGTACAATAGCCAAAAAAGTTCATGATAAAGTAAAACGTGGAACCTTCACAAAAAAATATTAAAAAAATACATAAAAAAGTGACTTTTACCATAAGTTAAATCCTAGTTTATTCCTTAACTCCTATTTTATATTCGTATAAATATTAAGGTAACAACTATTAAACCTTATCTAGATACATGTACGTACGCTAAGTTAAGAATATATTTACATTAAAAGGGGTGACAAGGAAAGAGCGAACCCCGCCAGGTTTTCGGCGGTCACAAGAAATTAGCGTGGAGCTGCTCTTGACGAAGAGTGGAGTTTGCGCCGCGCCTTTGTCACCCATGAGGACTCAGTTGGAATGCCTCTGTGCCAGTAACTGGGTCTCCGGATTCCATCACTCGCCACACGCAACTCAGCCGCGTTGCTACGCCGCCATTTCACGTGGGTTTGTGAGAGCGTGGTCCTTCCCCGGTCGAGCCGACCCGTTTTTGGGGCTAGGTGGGCAGCCAAGGCTCTACCACGTACTATGCGCGACAAAGAATTGTCAGGAGAAGTGCACGGAGGCAAAAAGTGATTTTTTTAAAAATTCCACGTTTATAAACTATTACCGATATCAAAGGTGTCGTGTAATAGTTGGACGCGCCGCGTATCAATGGACTTTAGCTCAGTTTATCGATTATTGCATAAACATTTAAATAAATTGATAGATGGATTAGAAGTATGTTATGAGAAGGTGTACTATTAACATAATTATAATATTTAAAACATCAAAACTATTAGCATAGATGAATAGATACCAACCATTATTGAAAAATTTAAAAAAACCAATAATAAATTTATAATAATTTTATATATATATATATAAATTATAAAAATAAATTAATAAATAGTGGATATGTAAAGATTCTTTTTTGCTAAAAGTTTAGTTGCTCAGTTAAATCAAATCTGTTTAAATAGTTTATATTAATCAAAATAGTTTATATTTCGAATTAGAGAAATCAAAACAACACTCATTTGATAATTCATAAAACATGGTTGGGTTTGAACTCTAGTTATCAAGAACCATAAACACAATAAAAAAAAAACGATGAGAACGTTAAAAGAAGAGAATATTTTAAAGTTGATTGAAGATTATAGTTCTTAAATATAATTGAGACAAATCTTTAGTTGTTTGAAACTTTTTATCGTTGTCAGAAAATTTTACACCCCTTGAAACTACCCCCAGAGTCGGAAGAATCTCGCTTTATCAAAAATACAAGTGATGTATGTGACAATGGTGGATACAAAACCTTCACAATGTACGTTCACAACAATTCCATTCGTACACTCACAGTTCATAAGATATAATTATTATTTGAGTTTGAATGTAAATGTTCATTTTCAATAAAAAAAAATTCATCTTGTATAGAATAAAATATGCCTTCTTAGCAAATATGTATGTATAAGTGTATATAAAATATTTTTTAATTGTATCCAGAATGACTTAGGAAAATGTATAATAGAGAAAATATAAAAAATTCTAAACATTTTTGATCCGAACTGTAAATATGTATATGATAAATAAACAAATTTAATTATGGCTTAAACTTAAAGTAAAAATCATAATCAAAACTAAAGCAAAAACAGTATAAAAACTTCGCCAAATAACTATTAACCTAATAAAACGGTTACTTACTAGAACATTTGCTTTGGCAACTGTAAATATATGTGTAAATATACTCTTTAAATGCAATGGCAACATTTTTTGTATTCTATAGGAACTCTTAAACAAATCTTTACAACTCGTAACATGTTATACTTTCGTTTGTTTTATTATAAATTAATTGTTTTTCAGAGTAACTTTGCTTAAAAATTACCAAAATAACTTTTATGTTTTTCCAATAGGATCAATGTTAAACACCATTTATCGCTTTGTGTAAAAGAAAGCCAAACAGGTGGTTGTGAGTAAGATTTGCTTTAGAGCAGTGGTGATAACTAAATGGGGTGGCGTATGGATCGCGGCGGCGGGTCCATGGAGCGGAGGCGGCGCGTGTCGAGCTCCCGTGGCAGGGGGGCGGCGCGCATTGGGCCCATCTGGCCCACCTGGCCCAAATGTCCCATCTGGCCCATCTGGCCCAAATGGCCCAACTGGCGCAACTGGCCCATCTCGAAGTCGCCGCGGCTCTGCGCCATCATGCGACGCTGGCGGCTGTTGTCGAAGGTCCAGCGCGAGATGAACTGGTCCGGGCGGCGGCGGCGGTTGGCGGCCGCCGCCGATGCGTCCCAAGTGCTCGTCCCCTCGGTACCGTTGCTCATGAATGACGCTGTAGGCAAAGATCTGTATGAGCTACGACCACCCCACGAACCGGTGTAGCAGACATTCGCGTGTGCGGTGGGTGCACTCACCAAATCCGGCGTTCGCGGCCCTCGCGGAACATTCCTCTCCCACTCGACCAAAAAAATAGTATCTAAATTATTTTTCTTCGATACGGAGACGATAACAAACCAAAAAATAATGATAGAATTTCCGTCTTTTATTTTACTTTAATGCTTCATACGAGTAGAAAAAGTAATTTCAAGAAGTTTGTTCGCGTATGCTGCTTTACTTATAGTATGATGAAATTACTTAACATTACAGCAACTTTTTGCAACGCTGCAACTGTGCAGAATCAAATAAGATTCTGCACAGTTTCACAAATTCACAAGTATCATCGCCATGCGGGATTTATAATATACACGCTAGATCCTCCCTTGTGGTACAACTGATTCGGAATTTTTAAATGGGGTGCATGTGCATGTGTATGTTAGGAAAATTAAAGCTCTGTTCGTATTATTCGCAAAATGCGGCGTATCCCAAAAACCCGTTTAAATATGATAACTGTAATGGAGATGTCCTTTTTTGTTCATGCGCGTTATTTACGAATAGATTGCTTATGATAATTCATAATCTTAACAAATAATTTTTTCCTACGTAAAGTTTTCTATTTAACACAAATTTTCATTCAACTCCGTTCGGAAGATGTGGCATAAGTACATACACATTTATAAACTCGTACATAGTTAATTCTAAGTAATTTTCCGTATAGTTACGTCTACATACAATACGTTATGTCCGGTGTGAACCGTCCTTTACTCTAGGGATGAGAGACCAAAAATCCGTAAACCAATTAATTTTTCCATGAAATATCTGTTTCTCGTTCATATCGGTTAACACATTATGGTGATATTAGTAGTAATATTTTATCGAAAAGGAACTAACAAGCTTTCGTTTTACGCGTGCCATTCGATCGCCTTGTCACCAACACCAAGCTCCAAACGAACACAATTATTAAACTTATTCGTAACTTAATCGGGGATCAGAAGACCGAACGGATGATGTAGCTATTAGTGACATCCCAACTTAATAGATTTTAATGAGCGCCGCGAAAGTAATACGAATGACCTTCGATGTCGAGTAATTGTTTCACGGCTAAATCGTGCCTTCAACCTTGGCTACTTCGAACAGCGGAAAGACCGTAGCCGTAGCAAAGCTCTACTCCCCTCCGTTCTTTTATTTTTCTTAAGTTTGCTACAAAATGATGGCTCTGTTCACATTTTTGTGAAGTTTTCGTGCGCACTCATGTTACAATAATTAACATTACTTCCAAAGATATAATCATAGAAATATTATTTTTCTTCGTAAATTAAAAAAATAGTCTTATAAATTTAATTAACAATATTTATTTGTAACTTTTAATTTATCATAATAGTTAGCTACAGTACTTGTCTGCTCTCTAACTATTATATTTCTATAAGTGAAGGCTTGTTATTGGTTGTTTGTCATCTAGTTTAGGGTTAGTTAAGTTTTAATAGCTGTTATCCTTCCATATCTTAATTAAATAAATGATAAACCATAAAAAACATCTCTCTATTGCCACGCTTTATTAAAGATCTCCTTAGATAATTTTGTGAAAATATTTTTCTGTGTAAATATAATTCACTGATATGTTGGGAGCGGCGGATTAAGCGCTAACAGTGTTCGAAATGAATAATCCTCTAACTTGATTTAAAGCATCTTTGTAAATCTGCCGAACGATATGAAAATATTTTAATAACAAATAAAAACTTTTTTGATACCTGTTAAAGCTTTTGAAACCACACGCCCACTACATTTTAATATTTATCTAAACATAAAAATTCAAAAATCAAAGGCAGTGGTAGCCTACTTCTGCTATCACACTATAGGACACATTTCTAATAAGGGTCGTACGTTTCGTTTCCATTTTTACGCGTAGTGTTATGATTTGTGATCGTTCTTTGTTTCCGAAACTTTTTTAAATAAAACATGCTAAGGCCAAAGTGAAAAGTCTTTAGTGCTCTTTTTTACAAAAGCGTTTGAGATGAAAAGCGAATGAGATTCCATATTATAATTATCTAATTTTCCGACTAAAAAATTATAAGCCCTCTAATTCCTTAAGTACTTTATGTACTACGAAATATCCATACATGTATAATAATACGAAAACAATGGTTTCACAAATGACAGTAGTAATTTACGCGTAGGCATTTTTCTCAAATCAAATGTTGGCTTGAAGCTTTATAAAGTTTGGAACGCCAGGTTAAAACCTTGACTACACTGCAACTAATACGGAAATTCTCGTTCGGGTGCGGCCAGTGAAATGTAATTTGGCTCTGAGAGCTCTTATTGCGTCCGACGCGGTCGCTCGTATATGTTACATGCACATGTATGTACTAGATACATTCCTATCTATGGTTTTTGAGCCTGTGCTGTGAATGTACTCAGCATTTCGGGCATTTAAATACTAACGCGATGCACTTAACTCTTGATGGTGAACCATAAAGTGAGCCATAATCCAATTGGTTATTACATTGCAGCGATGTCTTCTTCATACTCGAAGTATTTGATTGGAAGAGGACGCGGCGCAAAAAGTTTTATTACATCGTGAAGTGCAAATATTATACTTTCGTGTTTAGCGCCGTAATTAGATACGAATACTAATATATTTTTTGGAAAGGGTTCCAGCTAAAACTTATATCATTAATCTGGTATACTATTTATTTTATGTTTCATGTCGACCACAGACTTATTAGCCTGTTCTTGTCCAGACTCGCAATTGCCATAGTATTCGCTTCGTCCGCTTTAGTCTTTAATCGTGCAGCTGTTGTGTTCGGATTGTGCGTAGTAGGATACTCAAAAACATCTAATAAGTATAACATTGAATATAACATGCCAATGAGCAAACGGACGTTTTTTCCCTATTCTACTTTTCAAGCATTTATCTAAGGACTGCCTGTTCTTGTTTGTACGTTTTTGAAGTTATACTTCTTTAGGCGAATGAAAAGATGATGAGAGTGAAATTAAGATGCGCGCGGATCACTGTAACTCAAAAGCCACACTTTTGAAGCTGCCCGCTAAACCGCTTACTACAGGCTTATTTAGGCAGCATGTTTTAAATGAAATTCACCCGTTACAGTTCTCAATAAAGAATGTAGATGGCGCTTTCATAATTTTATTATTTATATTCTTACAGTATTATTATTATTTTACTATATTTAACTACTTGCATGCAATTAAAAACTATTTTAATGATGCTAAAGAAGTATTACTATTCACGCGCGTTCATAAGTACATGCACCCATTTTTTAGTATTTGTTGTATATGTTATTATTTGTAATCAATTAAATAATATTAATTGAAAAAGAATAAAGGGTCCAACCTTTATAAATTATTTATTGTCACAATTATGTTATGTTATGTTAATCATACACTGTGCCTGGCGTCTCTTCATACAATATGGTCCTCATTGACCTTGGACTTTGTTTTATCTCTCCAAGTATTCTTGGGATATTTTTCTTACTTTCAGTACCATTTCAATCAATTAAAAAAAACTGACTTTTCTACGGACATAATTGAATATTACGCCGAAAGCAGCCAAAATAATAGTTAATTATTAAAAATAGTCAATCTATATCATACCTTTAAACGAGCAATTCTTGTATAAGTATTACATATAATATATAATCAGAATCTCAGAAACGGCTCCAACGGTTTTCATGAAATTTGGTAAGCAGGGGTTTTTGAGGCGATAAATCGATTTAGTTAGGTTTCATTTGTAGAAAACGTTGCAAAACTGCTATAATAACATTAGAATACGTAGATAAATTTCGCTATCGCCATCTACACAGTTATAATAGCTCAAGTCCCCGGTTCGATTCCAGCTATTTTTTATTTTTTCCCTTTTTTAAGTTTCTTCTTTTGTAAGAGTCATCAAGGTACTTATTATTTATAAACACTTGTTTATGTATAACTTATATCTGTTTTATTAATTTGTTAGTAAATTACAACAAATAGACAGTTAGTTAAAAATAAAACACATTTATCAAATACTTGCATATATTCGCGATTTATTTATTATTTTAAATTGAATTACTCTTTTAACATGTTAGATCATAATTATGAAAAAGGGCCATATAATTGACATGTTAAAGTAAGAGCAATAAGTTAAAGTTACAAATCAGTCTGAAAAGTTTCAAAGTATGTGAACGCTGGAAAGTTAAATCGACATAAATTATCACGCGTCTATCCCTACATCTCAATCACAGGTGTGATGCACCTTTTTTACAATAAGTGGAATATGAGATGGTGAAATATTAAAAGGTACAATTGCGATATTTCATCCGATGGTGGTAACATGGAGACGAGCCCGCGTGGTACAGTATTTTTTGAGATACTTTTCAATGTCAAAGATTTTCTTTTAAACATTTTTTAAATAATGCCGCCGACTGATTTCATTATTTGAATTATTTAACTTATCTGTAGTAAATTAAAAATTATTCATTAATTGCAAAAATCTAATCTAAATAATTCTTACAAATACAAATACTTAACAAATACGGTTTTAAATCACGGGTTTACGGTTGATGAAATTTCTTTAATGTTTTTAGTAGTAACAAATGTTTGATGTAATAACCTCAAATATAATACATAATAATATTAAAAACATAAAAGTAACATGAACTTGATAAGTAGTAATATTTGTGAATACTCAATGTAAAGGAATATTGGGTTCGGTTTAACATCGCATCTGGTCCCATAATAATTTCACTGGTATTTGATATAGGACATATAATTATATCTATTTTCTTAAGATTTATTTAATTATTTTAGTGCTAGTCCCTGCAGTCAAGATAAATATTAAAAAAAAATCAAATATAAAATTATAAAGTAAAGGTCCGATCATTTTGCCTAAATAATACTTAAGATTAATAATATTTTATAAAATTGTGAACAATTTTATGGTGTCTTTACTCTCTTTCTCTCTCCCTCTTACCTAATTATTACTTAATTACTTCTACTCCTAAAAATAATCCTATTTTTATATTTATATTGTTCCGTCCTTCATACGTCTTATCATGCCAGCAACATTACCTGGTTAAACCAGGTCGCTGCCCTTTCTATACATTTTGCTTAATTCATTTTCATTCATAGTTGAGCACTTATTCAGGCGTTGGTATTGATCAATCTAATCAATTTAATTGTCCTTAAAATTATTTACGCTAACTAATCGTTTTACGTATCGTGTGTTTTATGTATAGCAAAGCCACTCGGGCGCGTTCGCTATAGCAGGTAATCGTGCACGCGATCTTTATTTCGGCACTGTTCCAACGTGTACATTGGCAACGGTCGTATCAATGCGAATGTGCGGGCGAGCGGCCTTGGCCCTGCCGCCGGCAGCCGTGACCTTGCCCGCTCCCGGTGGGGTCGGAAACACGCGGGATGCAAATCCTGCCACGGAAACGGCCCGCACCCTTTGCCATTTACATACAGCGGCTCGCATGCACACAAACACACAACCCTCTCACCTCTCATCCCTCTCCCACCACCCTGTTGTTGGAGACATTACGCGAGAAATGTTCCGATAATAATTGAAAGAACAAATACAATACACGAGTATGATAGATAAGCTGTTTACAAGTGTGTATTGGAAATCTTATTATTGGATCGCATCTGTATGAACATGTAGTTGTCACGGGCGTTATCGAAATTCAACATAATCTAAAATTCTATATATTCTTATTATTGTCATCAGTCATTGTTGAAAATACGACGAATATTTTAATGTATTTTTAATATAAATATAGCTTTCTGCATTTCTCCATAAAAACATTTACGGCGGCAAAACTCCACCCCCTTGCGCGCAATACTTATTATTTAAAATGTTAAAAGGGTCCATCATCATCATCTCTATAACAAATTAACGAAATACTGGCCACAATTAAAAATTTAACTTTTTTTATGACTAAACTAAACTTTACTTTTAAAGCTAACTGTTATTTAACACTAAATATTTTATAATAGACATAAATTATATCTTAGTGAATGTCCAGTTTCGTATTTATATGCAGAATAAACGAATAAATAAATAAATGAAAATAATAATATTTCGATGTATGGCGGGCACATCTCCCTCTACCCAGGAATCGGAATATCGCCAATTTACCGCAACCGGGCATAGCCTAGGTTGCATACGTTTGACTCCGGCAGGTAATTTCTTAAGTTCTCGCTCGGAATTGAATATCGCCGTAAGTTTTATTTGCGCTATAAAAAAATAAAATGAAAAAAATATAAAACAAAAGAAAACATAACATATAGGTAAAAATGTAAGGGTCTCGAAATGATTGTATGCACCTGTACTACGTGTTTGTAAACTTTGTTAAAATCGAGGAGAGATTTGCATTTTTAATTTTGAGTTGTATAGTTTTTAAAATGTATCCGTGAAATATCCCGATTTCAAGTAATTATAAAAATACTGGTGGTCGCTCAGTGGCCGAATTAGACCATAATTAATTACAAATAGTAGTGTGTGTAATGTTTTTCTTATCCGTCCGCGCAATTTTTATAAAAAGAGGTAAAAAGTTTTTGCTTCACATATTAATATATAGATAGATATCAAATTGTTGCTGATACCGCTTTTAGAATTGTTTCGGCGCCATACATACATACATATATATATACATATATATATATATATATATATGTGTATAGTATAGACTATGTTTTAACGAAGAGTAGAGTGGAGTGGAGTAGAGTAGAGTAGAGTGGACTTACTTGAGGCGGTGCTCGGGCGTCGCGTGGGGTCCGAGGAGGCGGCGCGGCGCATCGCCATCGCCCGGCGGGCCCTGCGCGGCAGCCGCGGAATGGTGTGCACGAGGGCGCGCCGGAAGTTCTGCCCGCTCAGGCAGTACAGGATGAAGTTGATCCCGAAGTTGGTGTTGAAGAACATGAGCGCCACCTGCTGGAGGGCCGCCCAACGGCCGCCGCTGTCGCGATCGCCCTGCGGGGCCGCGGGGCCGGTTAACGCCTTGCATAATGCACACCCACACCCACAATATTTATTACAACGGAAGACAACTGTAGAGTACTATATCGATTTACAGTTTTCCTCTCTATTTTTTAATTTCGAACGTTCCGATTTGCTATTTATTTACTAACTAGAAAACTTTCCGTCGGATGCCGTCGCTCCATTCTATAGCATCCGCGCGCCGTCGCGTCGCAGCCGCAAAGGGCGCTGTTACAATAAGCCAAACAGATCTCCGTCGTATAGCCAGACAACAGAGTGCCAACTTTCCTCTCATGGGTGATATTAATTGTCGCTTCTTCTAGACTATTCACGGCAACAATATTTCTTGTGTTATCGCAAGTTTTGTTTTCAATCACTATGCGCTTTTCACGACCGGTGCAAACGCAATATCGAAGACATAACCTATTTATTGACAATATACCACGATATTAAATCATGTTTAGTATGTGGCTTCGCCTATACGGCTATGAGTAAATTCTCCATTATTGACTTTCTATTGCTGCTGTTTCTAAAGGTATTGGTGCGAATACGTCTTAACATGCCGGTGAAACTTATGAAATAAGGTTGAGCTTTAAATAAAAGTTTGACGATTCATGATCAAAAGTGAGTGCTCAGTATCCGGGCATTCGTCTTTAATTGTAATTTAAAATACTCGAGCCACCTGAGCTCTAATCTTGGTGCCCGGCAAATGGGATTGTTTAATTTAAATAATAATTTTAAATAATCCTCCTTTCTCCTCACATAAGGTGGGGACGGCAATTTTAAATAATTAATTAGTTTTAGTTAATATCATTCTAATAAATAATTAATGAAATAAAAACATTTCAAAGATATGTGAAGTGCAGTGGGGCCGCCTGATAGACGATACCTTAAGACGCTCTGTATAGAGAGGCCTATCAGGCCTATCAGGCCTTAACTTCTTTGTACTTTCCAACTATCGCATGGAGAATAGGCGCCGCGCGCGGACGGTGGTGGGCAATCAGAGGGACACTTGAACAGTGTTCGCCAAGGCAGGGTTGGCGGTGCGGTGGCCAGGCGCTGAGCACGCGGGCCGGCAACAGGTGCCACGCCGCCGACGCCTCGCCACTCGCCCGAACACGCTATAGCCCACTCAACAGTTAACTTGTTGAGCGTTCGTTCGCCTAAGCAACGCTCAAAAACCGCTCGCCTACCTTCACGCACTATCGCCTATCTCTTTAATTACAGGCGCTCTCATCTTATTCTCGTTTGGCTCTTTTTTCTCGATGGTCTTACACGCGCCTTGCACATTTTATCGAACAAACAATCCTCTTATTCTACAAATAATTTTCTAAGTTTAGTTTTGTATAATCTTAATGCTTAGCTCTTTCGCCAAAAGTAAACTATTGTATCATATTTTATCCTAGGCCTTTATTAATTAAAATGAACACGAAAATATTTAAGGCTTTAAAGTTCTTATTTTTTAAAAGCTTCATATTGAAATTCGTTAAATACTTTGATGGAATGTATGAAAATTTGCTACCTTTTTATTAATTTTTATACATATACTTTTACTGTTCTTTTTAACAAATTTTATGCTCTCTTTTCCCTACTTAGGTACAAGTGCTGAGATTAAAGTTCTTATTCGAAATTACTTATCGTTTCCGACGGATATTATTTTTTCAGTCTATGTAATGAAATACGTTTTGCTTACTTTCAGCAAAGGCAATGATATATATAAGAAGGATATTGGAATATCATATAACTTGAAGCATATTTATCTGAGAATAGCGAATTCACATCCTCAGAAAGAAAATATTAAACAAAGTTTCGCAAAACTTGTTAAAATATGGAAAGTGCTCTTAAATTTTATGGTAAAATTGAATAACATAACAGTTAAGTATATTCGCAAAAATTTAGACGCAAACATTATTCAATCGGCCTCTCTCGCGTTGCTGCTAATGCAAGTGAATGTAAATCGTTTAATTCGCCTTTAGGTTGAAGTAAATAAAATAAAACAAGTGCGCCATCTCTTCAATACTCACCATGTCGTAGGCGTAGGCAATGATTCGCATCGTGTAAGCAGGCAAGTTGAAGCATACGAAGACCGAGGAGACGATGAGGAGCATTCTGGTGACGCGATGTTGGGAGCGCGGACAGCCGAGCTGGCGTATGGGTCGTACCCGACTTCCCAGCACCTCGAGTTGCTGCTCCGCTTTGATGAGCTGCTGCCGCGCGCGCTCCAGGCGGCACACGCCGATCGTGATCCAGGTGTTGAGGACGATAATGACTGCAAGGGGGACCGTGAAGGATACCGCAGTGTCGACCAGGTTGAAGCGTGCGGCATGCACAAGATATTCATGGTCGATGTTGCAGTCATTAGTGGTCGGAACAGCGAATCGGAGCACGGGCACGTTGAGGAGCAGAGAGGCCACGGCGACGCCGGTGATGACGTGGCGGGCGCGTTGCAGGGTGCACACGGCGTTGCGGCGCAGCGGGTAGAGGACGGCGACGAAGCGCTCCACGGTGAACGCAACCACGAGCCACGCGCTGAACGAGCACGTCACGTACGAGACGTACACGAATATTTGGCAGAAGCCGTACCGGTGGAACAGGCCGCTGCTGTGGACCGCGTTCAGCCATGGCGGGAGCAGCTGCAGCAGGAACAGCGTGTCGGAGAGCGCCAGAGCGGTGAGGTATTGGCTGGTCGATTGCAGGCGCAGTTTGCTCCGGTAGAACACGAACACGGATAGCAGGTTGCCGATGGAGCCCAGCACGACCAGGAGCGGCGTGTAGTACAAATTTAGAAAGCTCGCCAGTGAAACCGCAACGGAATCGAAGGCGGTCGGTGCTAAGGTTGTGGCGAGCGGGGTGGCGGCGGCGGCGGTGGTTGTATTGTTGCGCACCGACGAGGTGTCCGCGCCGCCGAAGTTGAAAATGTTCCCGAGCGGGTGGGCGGCCATTGTGGAACCCGCCCGCTCGCTCCCTGTTGCCGCCGCCAACTGCCGCCGCGCCGCGGACGGGGTGCTTTATAAGGGCGACGGCGCCGGCCACCGCGCAAGCCTCCTCTCCTCGCTCGCAGCGCTGCACACTGCACCGATGCAACGCTCACACGCCAACTCGCCCGCCTTATTCGATTTACATCCCTAATATTTAGGCGGCAACGTTTATTTTCTACATATTAATAAATTTTAAAGACGGTTATTTTGTGTAACATTGATTTGTAGTGGTGTAAAGTCACCGCCTATTTCCACGAAACAAACCGTACAAAACTCTAGCTGTTGCTACGCCGTAGTCCATATTATTGTTTACCTAGGGGCTATATTATGCGCGCGAAAGAGATGTCTATATTAATAAAATTGCCCAGTTGAGCTATGTATACTTCGATTTAATATTGAAATTTCGTGCTTCGCTTTTTATGAAGCAACGGGATTGCTTACCGTCTGTATACATATAGTTAAAATTTTCAATACTATATGTTTAACAATTTTTAAAAATTTCAGGACTTAAGCCTGAAAGAGTGTTCTTAATAGTGCAATATTTATTCATTGATCGTAAATCGATGCCACCGTCTTTATTTATATCTTATTTACAAAGAGAAATCTTCAATTATTACAACTCGTTGCAGCTACATACTCCAATTTATAATTATACGAAATTTCCCTTGTTTGTCCAGAGTTTTGAAAATATAAAAGATAAAATAATAGTTGCAATATCATCCATGAGGTATTGTTTTGTCTACTTTTTTGTTTTGTCTAGTATTTCAGTACTAATGAAAAAGAGAGAGCGTTTCAGTGAAAGAAAAACAACTGAATTACAATTAAATGTTTATTTTCGCCCCAGTGGCTAAACTTATGTCCCAAGAAACAAAATGTAAGCTTTAATGAATGTAAAATTTACAAATAAAATCGCGGTTTGATGAGAACTTTAGCGACGGCATCATCATGCGCCTATCAACTTGGATACTATAACAGCTTAAACAATGGCAATATTCCATTGTTTGTTATGCTGTAATCCTTTTCAGGCATTAATTTTGCTAGAATTTCATGTGAAAGTATTTTATTACACTAACAGCTTGAAATTAAAATAGAAACTAACTTAAAATTCGGGATTATACGTAATCGATTTCTTTCTAGATATAGTATAGTGGCGTAATGATCTTTCCTTTGTTGGCAGGTTCGGAGAAGGGCAGGGGCACCTTGGATGTTCTCCTTTGCACAACTTACTGTCGCTCGCAGCTCTATCTCTCGCGTCAGCTGTCGCAGTTGCATCCCGAGCTCACCATGCCTATGTTCTCGGGTAAGTGCCTGTTAAGAAAGAGCTCGGTGCTTTTGTTTTGTATGACAACTGGGACGATAGTGGTGAGGACCTGACAACTGTAATATAAACCTTTCGAGTGCAAACACTACCACTCGTCTTTGTTACCCTTACAGCTTAGGTTAGCGTATAGCTATCAGGTTGCTGAAGGGTATTATACTCGTTGATATATGGATGAATCGCATACTTACAATTGTTTTGACTTAAAAGTGTAACAAACAAACTGGCATTCACATTTATAATGTTATAAAAGTGGGGATAGTTTGTTAACATTGGTACACTTTCTAAGTTCAACTTTCAATATAGAAGAAGAATTATATAAAATAAAGAGTATATGATGACACACCGGATGACTCTTTACGGCATAAAATAAAAATGGCCGCTATCAATCATAATATGATTTCCATCCTCTGTATTAATGCCACATAGTAGCGTGAAATCCCTGATACCCTACCTACAAACGAAGTGGTGTTTCTTATATGTAACTGTCACATACACTAACTGCAGCTATGAATATACTTTTAATTACACCCTTATGGGTAACATTTTTATTAACTTTGAATGCCATATTTATTTATATCTGTGTAGCAAATTTCATTGAAGTCGGTTCAGTAGTTTTGGCGTGAAACTGAGACAGACAGACAAATTTACTTTCGCATTTATAGTATTAGTATGAATAGTATGGAATTATTTATATTTCTTTATAGCTAATCAACAGCCTAAAATATAAGTTTTATGCTTCTTGTTCTGAAAATGACAATACTTTCATACAACTTTTCATCCCCCTTTTCAATCCTTTAAAACACTTTTATCCTATTAAAAAATAGCCTATGTCCTTTCTCAGGCTGTAGGCTATCTGTGTCCCAAATGTCATTGAAATCGGTTCAGTACTTTTTGCGTGAAAGCGAGACAGACAGACAGAGCTACTTTCGCATTTATAATATTAGCATTTATATAAATGCATACAGCTACAATATAAATGCATACAACATTACAAAATATTTTTTCACCTTTTAATAAAGTGAACTCCGGCTACCTCAATCACCGGACGAAATGCAGAAGTTTAACACTACAACGTAACGACAGTCTTCTCTGAGGTCGTGGTACTTATCCGGACGAACCTGCCCATACCTGCAACAGTGACCACTGTTGCGTGGCCCTACCACAGTTGAATTACTCATTTTCTAATGAAATGCTGGTTTTGATTATTCTTGTCATAAAAATACATCGTTTGTAAAATTGGCGTAGGTACGATTCGCTTTTCTCTATATGGAATTGGTTTAGAGAGAAAACATCTTTAATGTAATAAACATTTTGTGACGTGGTTTCATGTAAAATCAATATCTATAATGCTTTGCCACTTTCATCACATTTGAAAAGTATAGTTAACGGTCTACGAAATAGAAACATAATTTGTTGCGCTTTTTGATGCTGGATACAACCAATGGTCCCTAACTCGGAGGCCAGGCCCGAGTCTTTAACGAGGTAAATCCCTGGCGGCGACGGAACCTGGACCTCACGACTTATCTCGAGGAATTGAGAAATGTGAGAACAAGTCTATGGGCTGTTAGGAGAAGAACTCTCACTGACAACCGAGCTGCTAGGCTAAGCTTCATTTGAAACCATGGGTCGTGGACTCAAAAACACTGGGAACCCCGTTGAAGCTAGAATAGCTCTCTGTATGGTGAGGAACGATGATGGTCGCGGCTCTCCTATGCTCTGAGAGGGAATAAATTTACGTAAAACTCAAATATTTCGCATTACAACGGTCTGGCAATATGTGTTTATAAGTTAGAGTCAGATAATCGTCTTTACGCCCGTCCTTAGGAGCATGTCTAAGACGTTATGAAGCCAGTGCAAATCAGATCGGTGCAAATGGCTTTGTAGACCTTTAGAGACAAGACAGGCGAATATTAGTTCTAATTTCAGCAAGGAGGACTCACAGTCCTTAAACTGTTACCTAACTTAATTAAGAATAACAGAAAACTTGTTCCAATTTTGTTTAAAGAACAGGTACACTAGTTAAGCGTTAAGCTTTATCATTATGTGACAGACACACTGTCATTAATTAATTAAAATGTGAGACCACATATCATTTTTATTAAATTATGAAACATAAAAATTATTTATCCGCCTTTTTTCAGTAAAAAGTTTAGAAGTTTACCAATAAATAGAACCTTCATTAAGGCAACTTTGTAAGATAGTGAGCAAAATAAATCAGTGTTAATGAATAAACAATAGGAGTTAAACTATGTAATATTACTGAGCAGAACCTGAAAATCCACGAACGTAGCTTTGGTAAGGGTTAATCACAAGCTACGGTCAATGCATGATTCGCGTAGCATGTCCGAGCTCTCCGCTACGCAAGCTCTCGCATTTGATTACGGGCTTACCCAAAACTGATATCGCTAAACTCCCACTACGAATATTTGTGTCGATTTATTTTTCCTATACATTACAATAAGCACATCACTAAACCTTCGAAAGATACGTTATAACAAAATGTTTTTTTGTATATCAAAATATAAGAAGATCGTTTGAAAGTTAGCGCGTTTTTTGTTTGTCGAAGTGCGACGTTTTGTTGCGGTATATTTGCCGATACCCAAATTAGAACAAGGTGAGTGGGAAGAGGCGCGCTTCTTCTATAAAGTTCAAAAAGGACAAAACGTGTGTACGAAGTACGCAAGTACTTCTTTAAAATATATTATGAAAAGTAAAATGGTTTTTGGTTTCATAAGCCCATCCGTCCTAATAAGTTGTCAAGCAGATTATGGACACCTCCAAACACACTTTGGCTCGGGTATATAAATCAGTACCTACATATTGTTACAATTGTTTAGGCTGCTTCATGGGGCGCCATCAAATTCCTTTATTTCTTTTTTCTTCGAATTGGTTTATTGTACAAAGAGACAATTTAGCAAACTCGATTGTTGTAACAATTCACAAATAATTTATCTCCATCGTAATGGTTCGGTTAGGATACCGGGCGCGGTTTCGAATCCGCATGCAAGTCTCAAACTTTTACTCCTATGTAGCCGACGTTGCCTACTCCGCAATTATTTGTAATGTAAACAACGTTTCACGGGGCCACTGAAGTGCGAAACTTCCATAACTTATATATAAAGGCACTAACGATAAATAACATCTTGTTTGTGGGACCGTTCGGCCGACACTGATTGAATTCGACCTTAACTAACTGTAAACGTGGACGAGTTCGCTCGTTACTTGTCGGGGAGATAACTTCCTAACCCATTACTGGAAAGTTGCATCGAGACCATTGGAAAATAAATGATGGCGTACTACCGATATTTCTTATATTGAAGCAGTCGGGTTGTACGCAACCACTTCTACGTGAGCAGATCAAAGCTCTACAGGTGTACTTGCGTATGAATGTGGAAATAAAACCTAAAATAGGTTTATTCAGAACACTATCTTTGTTGTTATTTTTGCCTCGATCTGGAATTAAACTTTAATTTTGTAGATACCGTTCCTAATAGTCAAGAGCGTTTTATCCTTATCTTTTTCATATATTTTGTCGATTACTATTTCGTTTGCTTGGTAAAAATTTCGGAGACCGACGGCCTCAGATCGCTTAAGATAGCGATATGAAGAAAAATCACAACATCGGGAGGACTGTAAGTGATGTAGCGCTTTTATGTCCAACTTCTTGGTTTTGTCAGGAGCCGAGCCTCCTATAAATATATTAAGTTTTTTTCAAAGCGTTCAAAGAAGTTCTTAAATGAATACAACAAGCGGATTATGTTCCTAAGTCCACTAGTGTGATACCTGCAATGATGATATCCGTGGGCTTTACGCTCTTATAAGGACGGATAAAGACGACAAAAGTCCTACAGATCCCCGAGAATAAAAACGTCCATTTTGCGTGGTTGTGTTACAGATTAAGCATATAAAATAAAACCTGCAAACTGCCCGCCGGTACGCTTTATACAAAACCAATCTAACCTCACCATTGACACGAAAAGTATCTACTTTTGTTTACATTTGCTCCTTACTCGCTTTGCGTATCTTTACATTTCTATAGCCATTCAAAAATACAGATTTAACATACATTACAAAAGTATAAATATATAATTTTGATAAGAATTACCCGTTAGGCCTACTGTGTCGTCTTTATTTTAAAAACGCCACTACTATTTGATTTTTTTTCCAGGATATATTTACGAAAAAACGTATTTTACAAACGGCCGAAACACACAATCACGACTTTTTCGGTATAAGCTGTCGATTTATATATAATTACTGGCTGACCCGGCAAACGTTGTTTTGCCATATAAATTATTTGTAGGGTGGAAAAAAATTTTGGGGTGGACCACCATTAACATCTTCGTTTTAATTATTAAGGCTGATATTATCGTCGATACTAGTTTAAAGAGTAATATGAGAGAATAAGTTTTCCTTATGTACGTCTTGAACAAATGTTTGTTTCGTTGTTAATAAATATAAAGGCTGGCAAGCACTAACCTGGACTATCTTCAGTTGCCGTCGTCGACCCGGGCCCGGTGTAGAAAATCTTCTGGCCTGATACTTCCTTTTCTTTGTTTCTTTCTTTTTTATTTATTTTTTTATTTTTTTAACATTGCCCTTACTTTAGAATAACATTATCCTGTGATGGAAGGACGTTTTACAAACATAAATTTGACGCGGACAAAGAACTATCTGTGGGTCAGACAAATAGTTGTCCCGTGTGGGAATCGAACGCACGACCCCCGACGCCGAAGCCAATACCTTGGCAACTGCAACTTTTATACACAGTTTCCGTAGAGGAAATGTCTTAATGTTGAATTTGGAGCAAGGAAAAAGAAATAGGGTTGGCAGTGGCAGAGGCCCCAAGCTTAAGCAATTGATCTTATTAAACAAGCTTTTTATTCGCTTCATATTTGTATGTACAAGTGCTTATGTTTATTTAGTTCAAATATTGCAAGTGAAATTTAAACTGGACTTAAATAGATACACACAGAATACAGAGACGGATGAGGAAAATAAAATACGAAACGATCTGCAAAAAAAAAACTAAATAGTAAAAATAAAGTAATAGGTAAAGTAATAGGATTATTTCCAGTAAATTTCTGGAACTAGAATAATATTGAGATTATAAAAAAGATTAGCAGCAGTGGCGTAGATTGTCTTAGAGGAACGAGTTAAGATCTTTCACCAAAGAAATAAAAATAGAATGAAAATACATTTTTCGGAAAATTTATTTATTAACATAGCTGAGACGATTTCACTTTTTCTAGATTTTCTGCCGCTATATAAAATATTGGCTTACCTGATATGCGTTCCTGTCCCATATAAATCTTAAGATTTATCAGATTTCATTATAAAAAACTAATTTTTATCTGTTGCAGTTGTAACCACAAGGGCTAAAAATAGAAAGCATACTGCTATTACCAAAGGAAAACGATGCAAAGCTATTGAATAATATTATTATATTTTATCCTAAATAATTTCATGAGCTCTATAATGGAATGAATTTACACCTTTTCAGGCTTTAAACACGTTTTATAAGAAATTATTCATACAAATCAACTGAAATGTAGTGACTGTTTTAGCAGACAGTGGTGTTTTTCTACACCTTTTTATTATTTCGTGAAAAGAATGCTAAGAAAAATATTAACTTTGTAATATGTCATTATTTTCATGTTGTAGAGCTGTAGTATTGATGATTTCTAATAATGAAGAAAAGACGAGAAGTATATTATTAATAAATTCTCTGCGTGTTAATTTCCCGTATCATTGATCCGGCTGATACAGCGTTAGCTACGCCCCCGTTATATGATGTTATTTACACGTTTTTTATCTGAAAAAAATAAACTCCAACCTTTTAGACAGGTACCAAGCATATTTTAAAGCCTTGTTTAGGATTATTTAAGGGAACATGATGGCGTTTAGGGACCCCCTAGGACCTGAAGCCCGGGGCGTACCGCCCCTTCCACTCCCCGGTTAGTCTACCACTGGGGGTTGGCCACGTATTAATGTTAGCCGATTACGCACTGTGTCTTGTCGGGTTCAGTATTTAAATTTTTTACTTCCAAATTGTGTCAAAATCAAAATCAATATACACAAAAATAAATATTACACTTACTTATTGATGGTCAAAACGTTACCACCGGTTATTTTAGATTTCTATTTCTAAGACCTGGATAGCTCAGGGTCCGGGCGCTCACCTTTAATTCGGGAGTCAGGCTGCTCGAGCATATTGCTAACCTGACTTCGATCCCATGTGCATGAGCGGCACCAATGAAATTGTTAATTTCAAGTACTGTTTTATCACGTGCTCAGCGGTGAAGCTGCTACTTTACTTTTTTACTTTATATTTCTAAATGTAAGAATAAAAAACATATTTAAATATTAAATAATATTACTCTGTACGGAACGTTATGATGTAACAAATGTAGTTAAAATATTACTTTAATGCCTTAAATCTAATTTCAGTCAATCTTTACATTAAAATTCTATTGCAACAATCTACTCCCTCGGTGGCTGTTTGCTTTCCGGCTATTGTGTGTTTACATTGGCAATACGATCGTGAGCGATTAATGTTTCCGTCTTCGTCTTAAGTCGAAGGAGTACAATTTTTACTTAATATAAGTTACGTTAAAGTTATTGCAAATAACATGTATAACTGTAATGTAAGCAAGGACTCAGATATTATGAGACTACACATATATCGTCTATTTTTACAACTAGTAACAGCACATTTGATGAAGCCCGACCGTAATTCAATTAATTTTTTTTTTTCATTAAACGTAATAATTACATTGTTGAATAAATGACGGCTTAGTTTTTATAATTACGAATTATTCCTCATGTTTCATTTTGACCTTACACAAGAGCTTTGTTAAAAAAGCTATTTCATGATGCTCCCGTGTTCATGGAACTTTAATTCGACAGAAATCACGGCGCGCTTTCAAACGGCAAGGACGGAGGTGCGTCAGCTGCTTCTCCAGTACCTGCTGCCCTGGCTGGTGAACATAGAGCTGGTGGATCCCAACGTGCCTCCAGCAAACCCACTGTCCTATATACAGGTACGACATGTAACACATCCGTACGCTCCCATTAAACCCTTTGTAAAAAAAATTATTTATGTCTGTATCAATTAAATCTGCAAATATAAAATCTTCAATATAATATTATGGTCAACAAAAAGTATATCGTAACGTGTTGCTTATTAAAAGTTTAATATAATACTCATCTCAATGTTTCAACTAAGGTGGTACCAAAGCTCACGTTTACCCTAGGCACAACCTAGAATCTGGGATTTTTGCTTTTATAAGTTGTGTAAGAGATAGAACAATGTGTAGACATATAATAATTACGGCTCCACGACATCTTTTAATACGCCATCTCCAGAGCGAGAATTATTATAACCTCTTTGAGATCTGTAATGGTGACCAATTGTTGACGAATCCTTATAATAAGTCATCAATTAAGGCGACGACAAGCGTCGAATGAGATCGGCGCGTTTACTTGAGAGGGCCATTTGTGTTATTCTTAGTAATCTATTTGGTTGTAATCACACGTGACAAATCCAACATTGTGGTGGCGTTTAAGCGTTAACGGAGCACTGTCGACCAACATTCACTTTGCACGCCATACTTACTTTCTGATGACAAATTATTGTGTTAAAATATACCTACATGTGTAATGTGATATTTCGCAATTACTCAAATAAATAATCACAGTCGAATTGGAGCTATTTTTAAAATGTTTATGTAACACAAGTCGGCAGACGCTGCTCACAACATGAAAACATTTCAACAACAATTTTAAGACGGCGGCTAATTAGAGGCTTCCAGCTTTTTTCCTCTTTGAGACGTTCCAACGGAATATTCTTAATGTTCTTAGTATTTCGTCGCGGTGGAATATGTACAAATATTTCTTAACTTTAATGTATGGGTTGGAAGCGGAGTTTACATGAAAATATATCTGTACGTATAAATACGTGAAAAGAGTAATTCATGCCCAGAGGAGGCATTTTTTTTTTTCGCTTTTACGTTTCGAGGTTTTGGTTCGGTCCCTGCTTGGGTGTTTTTATTTAGGATGTCTGAAAGGCCTTTATGAGACGAGTGAAGAAACACAACACTGATGGAAGTGTAAAATGTCCGTTCCGTTTCCAGTACTACGCGTCGGAGGGCGGGCGCAGCGGCAGGCGCGAGGGTCTCGGCTCGGCGGAGGCCACCGAGATGGTCCTCAACAACCTGTTCTACATTACGGCCAAGGTGAGTGGTTCCTAAGAGGCATAGGGCTGCGATGTGCGATGCGATCTGCATACTTTGGGCCCCCGCAACAAAGCCTTATGATGCCTACTCTGTTTATGTTCTGAAAACTATTTCTATTTAATCACCCATGTTACACACATTTGACTCCATTTGACTGAGTCAAATGGAGTCAAATGGAGTCTATTATTTGCCGTTTAGACTAAGTAAGCATTTTAGAGAGTGGCATTGGCATAAGCTATTTCTGAACAAGTCCGAGTGTAAACGCTTGCGTATTAAATGTCAGAGAATTAAAATGTTACAATAGCAGCTTAAATTGAACGCTAGTTATTCCACAGCGCATTTAGAAAATTAAACGCTTTCTTAGGAATCTATGAAACCCAGACCATTCCAATATAAAATGCCGCTTGAACGCCAGTTTAGTTTTATAATAGATAAGATCTCTGTTCGATCGCACAATTGTTGTGGTAAATTCATTATTTAAAAAATAACTGAAATACTACGAAGTAGCTTGAAGTTTCCCACAATTCAAAGAATGATTTGAGTGTTAAATTTATTCCATCGGAAATTGATGGTTTTATTACCCATTTTTATAGTATAGTATAAGAAATAGGGTAGTAAAGCTGAAGCGGTTGTCTCGTTTTGGCACAATATTTATTAATAGCCATGCATCCACTATAATTTCCAGGATACTCTTTGTTATTTTAGGTAAATTGCAGTCAAAATAAATATTTTTTGGTACAAAAATGATTTCACGGCTTAGCCATCCGTATGTAGCTTTCTTAACTTGGATTGCTATGCATCAAGAGAAATAAAGCCCTTTTTCTAGGGTTCCGTACCATAAGGGTAAAACGGGAACCTATTACTAAGACTCCGCTGTCTGTCTCTCTGTCTGTCTGTCCGTATGTCACCATGCTGTATGTCACGATCCGTGATAGAGAGTTGTAATTTTCACAGATGATAAATCTGTGAAAATTTGTGGGGCTCCCATACAACAGAAATGTTTTTTTTTGCAGTGGCTATACACAATGGTACGGAACCGTTCGTGCGCGAGTCTGACTCGCACTTGGCGGGTTTCATATTATTTAAAAAAAAAAAATCTATTGGTTAAGCATATTCAAATTGCAAAATACAATACTCAACTTGGAAAAGGCTTGATGATAATGAAAACAAGGAACAAGAGATACCGAGGGAAATAAAACTTGTCTTGCTAAAATCGAAATTCCTTGAATGACTGAAAACCTCATGATTTTACTCAATGCAAGAATGTATCACTACATAGTATAAAACAAAGCCGTCCCACTGTCTGTCTGTCATTATGTATGCTTAGATCTTTAAAACTACGCAACTGATTGCATACTGATTCAAAAAGAAGGTTTACTCGTATATGTATAATACATTAAACCCGTGCGATGCCGGGGCGGGTCGCTAGTTAAGAATACAAAGTAAATTTCATGTAAAAAGGCCTAATTCAAATAAAAATTCGATAGATGAATTTTTGAATGTTTTTTTTTAAATAACACATGCTTAATAACAACTAAACGTTTTTAAACATATTTTAAAGAACTAATTTATTCGATTTCGTCCTGTTGAACTGTATAACTATTGGGTTTTAGTAGACTCAAAGGCTGACATACGCCTTTATTAGAGCCGAGGCAAATTGCGATTCGTATTTCTGCAACGAATCATGGATTTAAAGTCGAAGTCTATTCAAAGGGCAAAGGGCGGCTGGGCAGATATTCACAATTTTTTTTATATTACAACTCTGTTTCAAAGGTGTGGTGGAAGTAGATGATTAGATTTTCAAATTAAAGTTATTGTCTATGTATTAACTCAACACTTGATATGACGTTTATATTACCTAATATTGATAATAGTAAGGTTATATTTTACAGCTAACGAACATTTGTCTATTTGTAAAATAGCAAAGTGGACGGCCACTTTCCAAAGCCTTTCAATATTGCAGAGTGACCGCGCGAATAATTAAAACATAACAACATCTTTTGCGCATTGAGGGACGGATTCACGTTACAAAGACGTCCAAGACGGTTAAGTGTGACTCTGAAACTAGTATTATTTACTTTCACCTTTTATATATTATTTGCAGCCGCAACCTTCGCATAGCGCCCCGTGGGAACAACATCGTCTGTGTTACTACTTGCGTCACTTGTTAACTGTACTCTGAAGGTTACTCGATTTTAGATAGCATTCAACAAAGTCAATATGTGTAAGGCAAAATACCACACTGTGTCTTTAATTAATTGCATTTATTTACTTTCTATTAAGAGCTGGTAGAAGACGAATCATAAACTAACAAACAATGATAGACTAGGTTTCATTAACTCACTCCAAAGTCGAGCACGTCTTGTGTTTGTCTTTGATCGTATGCGCCGAGGCACTTCGCCGGAGAAGCCTGGCCGTCGTCGCGTGCAGCACCGTGGGGAAAAACAACAACAAGTGCCCGAACCGGACTTGATAATGTTGCGTTAAGTCAGCTTACGCGTTTCAAAATGCATATTGTCTTGTCTCATTGTAGCTGGCCATGTGTTTGACAGAGAACCTGGCCGCGCTCACAATCGGCCCACGCATCGATCTCCTTTAATTTGCGTCGCGCTGAACGGTCGCACACCACAGACGGCAATGTTACCCCATTCGTTACACGGCGCTCCCTTTTCGCTCGCGACGCATTTCTGATTGTGCATACTATCGTATGTTAAGGATTATTGAAATTTCCTGTTCAACGAAGTTGTCATTGCTTATTCACACATTTATTTTAATTCTCCTTTATTACTCTCCTTTATACGAAATTATAGAACAAGTCCAATTTCCAGATAACGAAACAAAATTTACGTGTTACATATTATGTATTGATTCAAACACAGTATTCATAAATCGTAAATTTTCAAATACACCACATATTTTTGACTTTTATTTCTTATCGTAACGGTATCGGCACATACACTACTCACACAAAGATATGAATACGGTGTATTCGCATGAGCTTGTGTATGCCCGCCATTGCATAGGGTTACGCCCCTTCCGAAATATTAACTATCTATAAAAGCATTTTAAGTTCCCTTTAAGCCTTGGGTTGTGGTACAAATAATATAACTGAGGAATAATCATTGCTGTAATGAATGTACTTCAAGAGGAGAAGGAACAGCCTATACATGTTCCACTGCTGGGCAAAGGCCTCCTTTAAAAAGGGGTATCGGGGCATAGTCCACCACGCGGCCCCACTGCGGAATGGCGGACTTCACATATCTTTCAAATATATATTTTTTTGTTATTATTTCGAAAATATGCAGGTTTCCTCACGATATTTTCCTTCACCGCGGAGCACGTGATAAATCAGCACTTAAAGTTAAAAACTTCATTGGTGCCGGCACCGGGGATCGAACTCAGGTTGCTCGGGTATATTGAATTAAAGGCGAGCGCCCGGACAATGAGCTATCACGGCTAAAAATATAAATTCTATGTATCCTAATTAAATAGTTAGCAGTACTTGTGGTGTTTCCAAAACTCTTTTCGACGCACTCGACAACAATAAAACATAATTGGCAATAATCAGACCGGAGAAAACAAGAAAACTGTATAAAAGGATACTAAAAGAACCAGTTTGCGCTGATTATTATTATGTATAAGAATGTCTGAAATATCCGCTTGCGGCTGTCACTTACAGCAACATGCATACGATACAACACATCCACATTCAGAGTTGCTGCCACTACGTTCATCAAACTCGCACAAAACACTCGCAACGATTATATTACATTGGCTACTTTTTGGGGCGATGCGTATTCGCGTTGTTTTGCACCAGGGGTTTATATTCGTAAATAGGACTGTCTCCCCCCCCACTGTACCCCCAGTTTTCACCTGGCTCCCCCTTGTGTATCGGTCAAGTCCGCGCGTCAACGCGTCGCACAGCTTTACATAAAACAAAGCGTCCTCTTTCGTAACGACATGAAACAATTTTTTGTAACCTTATAGGATTTTTTTTATATTTGCTCAATCAATGCTAACAGTGGCTGTTTGGAGTGAATAACTATAACACCCTATTTAGTCGATAACACTTCTCACCCATCCGCGCGGAGATATTTTGTTGGTAAGTCAAAATTTCGCCGTGTACCGCATTTTGAACGGCGCTTCATCCTAAACCAATCCTATCCATGTAAGCCAGGTGCCTTCCATTCGCCGCGGCGAACAAAGTTTGTCCTCCTTCGCAGTTTTCATCAAAAGAGGCAATAATCGAAAGCGTGTATTTTTTATTTAATATTAATTTTCATAAAATATCACTTCTTATTAGTTCGTAATATAAAAATGGGAAATCACTTCAAATAGTAATCAACGACACAAATGTTGTGTTTATTGCGAAGTACCCATTCGCAATTTAGATACTCGAAACTGCCTAGGGTGGCGCCCCCAGAGTTTAGGGTACCTAACCGGCTGGATACGTGCACGTTTAATCCCTGCAGTTTCAATATAGTCTGTGTCCATCCATCCATCGCAAACGGTCCGCACACGTGCCCCGGGCCGGCTTCAAAGGCCACCGAACGTGGCGACCCGCCTGTCTTCGGCTTACACATTCAAGTGTATTCGCCCCCTGTGATCGGTGTAACAATAGATTAATATTCTGCCTGTGAAACACAACGACAGTAGTCTGACAAATATCACCGTAATTTATTTTTTAATGCAAATAACTTATTTTCATTCGTCAGCAAAATGATTGTGATATATTCAAATCATATTTTTATTATAAACACTTACTGCCATTAAAATCAAGAAATATTTTTTTCGGTACAGAGTCTAGAGTAATAAATTTACGGTGCTATACATATATGTAACAAATATTCAGTTTCAGTTTCAAATATTCAATATTTAAATCTTCTGTAAGGTCGAGGCGCCACCTACGAACGCAGTTTCGCATAAGCACTGTTATGTAGCGGCATACCACAGCTAGTCCTGTGTTTTTCTTTTATATCTTGAAATCTTGAATGTATGTCCTTGAAGCTTCCTATGGCCGTGTTACTTTTGTTTTGTCAACGAAACCAACTATCTCTAATACTATGACAGTAATGACTAATAACTAAATGATCTATTTAACAATTATCAATTAAAATCAACTTAATAAGGTCGTTGACCATTATTACACCATGATTGTAACTTTAAAACATGTAGAAAAAATACGAAAAGATTGTCGCCGCTGTGGAAATCGAACCTTTTTTAAAATTTATAATTGTAACTTTTGAAAACTATGGTTAGCTGTAAGACAAACTTTTTGTCGTTGGTTTCAAAAGAAAAATTGAAGATAGTTGAATTCAAATTCCATTATTTCAATTGCACGCTTTTTAACTGCACAAAATAAGACGTTTGAAAAGAAAGCGCAAACATCTTTTTGAATAAAGATATTTTGAATTTTTTGAGTTTTGATTGAGACAAGGAGACCTAAAACAAACAAAGCGTACTTGATTTTAGTTACAATCAATCACGTAGAAATCCATGACCAGTCAATGTAATATATCCAAAGTAACTTCATTAAAAATGTTGTTAAATGGTTTATTTTCCATTGTGGCAGTTCTCGGACAACCACCCAAAGGAGACAGAAGAATTGTGGTGCACTCTCTGCGCCTGCTGGCCGAACAACTTGAAGGTCATCATCCGCTATCTAATCATAGTTTCGGGGATGGCGCCAAACGAACTGTTGCCATACGTAAGTGATTAAAGCCACCATTTTTTATTAAATATTTATATAGGTAGTCAACGGGAGCGGTGCGGATTAAATTCCCCAATGGCATCGTGCTCAATAGATCTCGACGATTAAACTGGCGAGCAATTAATTGGAAAGGATCTTTTCAAATTAATTTAAAATTAATCACGCTAGTTTCTCCGATTATCCTCCTAATTCCCTACTTGCATTCTTATCTAAAGTTCTTGAACGCCTCGTCCAAAAGCAATTAAATTCCGATCTTGTGGAAAACAATTTATTCAATCCATTCCAATCTGGCTTTCTTCCCATCCACAGCACGACTACAGCACTTCTAAAAATTACCGACGAAATTCGTTATGTCATGGATAATCAAAGACGGGACTCACTTTCCTTGACTTCAGCAATGCATATTATATTATATATAATGCATTAATACTGTAAATTATGGCATAATGCTCGCTATTCGGCGTTCTCTCAACATATCTCCGATTGTGGTTGACTGGTTTCACGGTTACTTGTTTGGTCGCCGACAACCTGTTCAGGTGCAGGATGTTTTCTTTTCCTGGGATAACAATGTCGCTGGCGTTCCACAAGGTGGCGTGTTGTCTCCTCTCCTGTTTGCAATCTTCATTAATATGATAAGCACTCACATATCTTCTTCCTACCACTTCTACGTTGAAGATATCCAGATTTATACTCCATCGTCTCTGGAAAATCTGCCTATCTCGATTGAAAGCACTAACTTTAACTTTGGCTTGTATTTCTATTTGGAGTAAGGCATATGGTTTGACTATCAATCCTACGAAAACTCAAGCCATCATCGTCGGGAGTTCTAGGTTGGCCGCTAAAATCGACTGGTCTATTTTACTCCCAATTATTCTTAACGGTACTCACATCTCGTATAACAAAAAGAGTGAAGAATCTGCGAATATTTTTGACGCCTGTCTGACATGGAACCTCAGTTGAATGAGGCTAGTAAGAAAATGTTCTCTGCTATAGGTTCTTTACGAAGACTGCGTAATTTTCTTCCCACTGCAACTAAAGTTGCGCTCGCTCATTCACTACTTCTGTCCATCCTTGACTCTGCTGATATTTGCTATCGTGACATTACCGAAGTACAATGTATGAAAAATGCTTAATAAACTTAAGCGGATTAAAAATTTGTGCCTTCGATTCATATTTGACCTTCGTAAATATGATCATGTTTCCGATTTTCGTACACAGCTCAAGTGGCTCCCAATCCGTCCGTTTCTTAGGAATCCCCATATTCTCTCTGTTTTGTACAGCGTCTTGTTTAATCCCTCTACTCCTAAATACTTTTCGAGTATCTTTCCGTAACCCTTGATAGGTCCCTTCGTTCTTCGGTTAATCTCTCCTTCCAAACTCTTGTATATTCTCTTCCTTTTTCAAAAAAACTTTTACAGTAACTGCTGTGCGTTTGTGGAATTCATTGCCCCTTCACATTCGACAAGCTAAGTCTCTTCTTTCTTTTAAAAATCTAGTAAAAGTTTATTATTTGGAATTGTAAAATCATGTTTTCCTTTTTTCTTTTCCTATTTTTCCCTATTGACTATCTCATTGATGTATAAATGCCTACATTCGGTGTTTATAAGTGTTTCATGTACACCTCCCTCTGCTCTGTTCTTTATGGCTCATTAGTAGTTCTTTTCGCAATGGTTGTTTATTAAAGTATAAATATATAAAATAAATTCTTAAATTCCTTATTAATCGCTAGTTGAAGGGTACAAGGAGAAATCCTTATTTATTTACCATGCTGAAAATTATCGTTGCCTATGTTTTTATTGATATACTTAACAAGAATCAAAACGTTCCTAGAAAATCCTCACTGTGATATTCTCCAATTAGGGGAATTAAGGAGTCTCATGTTCAGAAATATCAACACTATTGATTTTATTTACGAGTGAAATTTCTATAAGGTAAGTTCGTTCAATTGTAAATTTGTATATTGTGCGATGGCTTGTTATTTTTGTTATTTTGAAATTATATATAATTATATATATATATATATATATATATATATATGTACATACATATTGTTATTAAAAGCCGAGGTAGCAAGAGCCTGTCCAAAGCATCTATGCATTTTTGATATATTTGATCGGTTGACGGAGAACGATCGGTCCAGGCGAAGCGCGTGGTGCTGTACTTGGCTCGCTCGCGGCCTGAGCGTCTGTTGGACGAGATGATGACTGAGCTGCAGACAGTGGAGACGCTCAACTGCCTCATAGAGCGCACCGAGACGCCGCCCTTCTACCGGCTCACCTCCATGCGCAAGGCCACCTCTGGCCACAGCGACGGCCCCGGCAACGGATCCCAGGTGACTGTTCCGCCCCCTATCTACAGACCACCTACAGACAGTATATATCTCATCATATTTAAGAACCGTGATAGCTCAGTGTTCGGGCTCTCGCCTTTAATTCAATATACTCGAGCAACCTGAGTTCGATCCCCGGTGCAGGCACCAATGAAATTGTTAATTTTAAGTGCTGATTTATCACGTGCTCGGCGGTGAAGGAAAACATCATGAGGAAACCTGCATATTTTCGAAATAATAAAAAAAAAATATTTCGAATATTTGTGATATCCGCCAATCCGCAGTGAGGCTGCGAGGTGGACTATGTCCTGATACCCTGTTTACAGAGAAGGCCTTTGCCCAACAGTGGGACATTTATAGGTTGTTACTGTACTTTACTGTTTACTTTTTCATAGTTTCAAGTTTATTATTTTCACCCTGCTCATTTTAAGTGCAAAATTTTATTATTGTTTACGGAATAAATTGCAAATGATGCCAAAAATGTGAAACAAAACTAGATAGTTAAAGTTTTTGGTGAACCGTCTAGTTGAATGTACTATTCGTATATAGATATTCTGTACCGATACATAGCGACTACGAAACCCCTGACCGCGCGTCGCCGTATTAGTTTGAGTTAGAGTTTTAATATAGTAAGACATGATTATCTGATTTGCGATGACACTTGAAAGGACGCCACCGGCCGCCCCGGGGAGCTCGCCCCCGTCGAGAAGGGCACCATCCACACCAAGAGACACAGCGGAGAGGACCCCGCGAAGGCTTGGTAAGTAAGCTAGTATGTCTTTCGACCTCCGACCGCACATACACCATGGGCACTTAGAGAAACGTCTGGTTCGATAAACCTATTTCACGGACTTCAGCGCGTTTCTTTAAATTCCCGATTACTGCCCATGATCGCTGGGCAGACAGGGTCTTTTCGACTTTTTTATAATTATAAGATTTAACCCAAGCTGCTTACAATTTATTTTATTACAATATAACACAAAACGTAGTAGCTACACGGAACGGAACCATGAACACTCATTCCGCTTCGTGCTCTCGTACGGAACGGACGTCTCTCTAAGACGGAGGGCACATGCCACCCGAATTAGACGCCACTCGCAACCTCGGTTGCAATTTAAATCTTGTGCAAATAGTGCAGTAGTTTAGTGTTAGTGTAGTGTTGTGCTCGTAGGCAGGTTCCTGTTTTGTAAGTAGAATCCTACACACACTTCTCGTCTCAGAGGCGGCATTGTTTCATTTATTAACTGTGTGCTTGTTGCAATAGGCGACAGCTAGGTACCCACCCTAGCGCACCTAAAGCGCAGGCAAATTAGTTGTTATTTTTAGGCACACACCTCCCTGCCGCAAGGTGGGGAGGCTTATTTAGCTCACACACGCCGGCGGGGCTACAAGCCCCAAAGGCACTTACGCCGCGATGGGCTCCCTTTTCGAGGAGTTCGTACGCAAGGAATGCCCCGCTATGTGGGAACGTTTTCTTGCCTATAAAGCCGAGCATAGGCAAGAAGCTGATCTCGCGTCGCCGCCATTGCCCGCGCCGTCTGCGCCCGTTACCCCGTCGCCCTCCGCGACCTTAGAAGCCCCCGTTGCGTCGGCATCCGCTAACGCCTACTCGCCCGTAGTGCCTTCCGGGCAACCGAACCCGACCTCTTTTCGCTCCGTCGTACCCGACTCACAATCGGACGGCGGCTCAGACATGGAGGTCGAAACGACCCCCGCGAACAACGCGAACGCCGACGGCTTCACCGTCGTCAAATCGCGCAAAAAGGGCAAGAAACGTCCCGCTACTGACAGGGACCCCGAAAGCGAGGCCGCCCCGTCAAACCGTCCCACCGCGACGCCCGCCAAAAAGGCTGCCGCGACTGTCCAGTCGGAACCAACATTCGCCTCCGAGCGAAAAATCAAGCCACCGCCGCCAATAATAATTCAAGAAAAGGCAAAGTGGCACCAGGTGTGTTCGTGGTTTGAACGCCACAACATCCGAGACCCCCGGTCCAAAAATACTAATATGGGTATCCGCGTATACCTAGACTCCACGGACGATTTCCGCCAAGTAACAAAATACTTGCGCGAAGCCAAGGTAGGTTTCCACACCTACTCACTACCCGAAGAGCGTAAACTTCGGGTCGTTATCAAGGGCGTCCCGAAAGAATCGGATGTCGATAGGGGCCTGGGCCGCTTATCTGTTTACTGGCGACCATTTTCAATACCCTTCTCTCCAGTTGCTCCTTTCCGGACGACTGGAAGCAAGCCACGGTTATCGGCATTCGCAAGCCGAATAAACTAGCCAATCAGCCCTCTAGCTATCGTCCCATCAGCCTCCTCAGTTGCCTGGGGAAGCTCTACGAGCGGCTCTTGTTAAACAGGCTCAAAGAGCACGTATTTTCCAACGGCCTTCTGCCGACGGAACAATTCGGCTTTCGAGCTAGACACTCTTGTCCCGATCAGTTATACCGCCTAACGGAGCACATCCTAAAAGGCCTTAACCACCCCAAACACATTAGTACAGGGGCTCTCTTCTTCGATGTCGCAAAAGCATTCGACAAAGTCTGGCACAACGGCTTGCTTAACAAGCTGTACACACTCAAAGTGCCAGATAGGCTTGTACACACCATCCGGGCCTTTTTGTTGAACCGCTCTTTTCGATATCGAATCGAGGGCACCCCCTCCACAAGCCGCCGCCTCACGGCCGGCGTACCACAAGGCTCCTGCCTCTCACCCTTGCTATTTACGCGGACCCCCACGTCAATCTCGCGCTTTTCGCGGATGACACGGCGCTCTTTTACTCAGACCGCAACCTCAGTCAATTAACGACTCGACTCCAAAGCGCTGCCGACCGCCTCGGCGATTGGTTCCGCAAATGGAGAATCGATATTAATCCCGAAAAGAGTGTGGCGATTCACTTCACACGAAGTACCTACCCGTCACATCTTTATAATGGCCCTCGCCAATGCAGAAAGTTGGGGCAAATATCCCTTTATGGCCAACCGCTCCCCTGGGAGAAAAAGGTCAAATACTTAGGAGTCACTTTCGACTCGCGTATGTCATTTACTACGCACATTAATAACGTTCGTAACAGAGCCGCGTTCGTCTCCGGCCGGCTACACAATTTAACTAATGCTAAAAGTAAAATGCCCTTAAGGCACAAATTATTATTATATAAGACCTGCGTACGACCTATTATGTCCTATGCATGCATGATCTTCGCCCACACGCACCCTACTCGCTTGTACAAGTTGCAAATAGTACAAAATAAGTTTATCCGCCGTGCAACCGGTGCGCAGTGGTATCAGCGCAACGTCGACCTGCACAGCGATTGCAGACTCCCGACGATTCGCGCACATTTTAAAGATTTGACAAAACGGTTCTCTGATAGAGTCCAGCATCATCCCAACCCTCTGGTGGTAAGCGCAGCAAACTACCAACCGGACACAAACGCGAACGTAAACAAGCGTCGCCCGCGAAACGTCCTCATCGACCCGGTCGACGAAGAGGACTTAGATACGATGGACCCACCGCCGGGGGTCCCGCCGGATAACACTACACCCACAGTTAGTGTAACAACAATCACACCAGTTCGCCCTCGCCTCCGAGCACGGCGAGACCCACACAACGCGTACACAAGGTACACCCGCGTTCCGGGGCGGTTCTCACCGCTCCCAACCACCGATTAGCTAAATGCGCAGTCGACGGCCGTCGGGGTCTCGGTCCGAACCGGCGACCTCGACGGCCCTTAGATGACACACCATAGTAGTTAAACGTACGCATGAGCACATGCGCGACCCTACCCATAGCGGAGGGCCCAAACCCGTGGGTTCTGGCTAGCCCACCGGTTCTGCGTCCGATGAAGCTTTAATAGTCTCAGGACTGAAAGCAAAAACATCAGTTAATACAAGATACAAGGAGTTGGCCAGATGTTCAAAACGCCTCGTAGCTGTGCTTTTATATTTACCCGCCCTCACGTAGTGCTAAGCAGCTTTTACAAACTTCCCCGGCGGTCATATCGGTGAATATGACGGCTTCAACATTACTTGATCTATTTAATTTGGTAATAGATAAATGGTAGAGTACATTCCTCTATGGTTCAACGTAATATTTACTTTTTTTTAGTTATAATTTAAAAGGTTAAAGTAAAGTATCCAAAGTTAATTAGATCATCATTCGTTTCGATCGTAATCAAACGCGTAACATCACAGAAAAAGAAAACAAACCACAATCATGGCCCGCTAGCAAACATCGCTTAAATTCGCTCTTCCTTCATGCTAAATCACACGCGGCGTTCCACAATGCTGACGCTTGAAACAAATGTAATGTGCATGGTAATGAATTTCAATTTGATACATGTTCAACACTTCGCACGTCGTCCACGCGCATAATTTTATAGTTAATAGAGATTAGTCCTCAGCAATGTCTATAAAAGGTACGGTAGCAAATTATATTTTTATTTAATTTAAACTCATCGAAACGGGCGCGCCGAACGGCAGCCGTAGAACTTACTTAATTGACGCTCATATTATATCGATCTTCTGTGTTATTGTACATCACATCGACGGTTAACTTTAAAATTATTACTTATTTGTCGCACCTCTACTGTGTAGTCTTGAAAAGAACGCGACATGAGGTTTTAGCCGCGTTCGTGGGGATTATTGCTCATTATTTTTATTTAAATGCGTATTATTCGTAGTCTCTAATAAACTCGCCTGCGAATAATTTTAGGGGCGCGCATCAGTAGCCCCTTGGCATATTCGCACTCGCGGAGGGCGCAAATCGGCGAGGGTTCGCTGGACGCAATTATAATCACACCGCACGCTCCGGTCGCAGATTATAAATACATTCATAGGGCTCTGCGATTTGTTACAGCTTATAAAAGCATATAACACCCAAGACATACTATCCTATAGTTGTTTTTAAGCTCTCAAAAAGTAACATAATTATTATTTAAGTCGTCTACGTCTAGAATATACTTCGGATTATCTATTGAAAAACAACAACTAAATTCCAACTTGCTTGTTGTTGCCTTAGTATTAAGAAGAAGAATAGAAATACAAATCCTTTTTGTCTGCCTACCTTTAATGTTTAAGAAAATTCATACCGTATTTCGTCTTTACGGAAAATTATATAAATGTCAACACGTGCCGCCTTAGAAGAATCAATTGTTTGTTCAGCCTTCATAAAGTCTTTGCCGCAACAACAACAGAATTATTAGTGTAATAAAATAAAATTCGAAAACCCCTGAAACACATTTATACGTTCCTTTCATGAGTTTTCTTTCTATTGGAACGATAATTAATATATTTCAGTTTTAATTTTATTTACGTATGATTTTATCGATCTTGATTACTTACTTTGTAATTCAGTGGAATATACATAAAAAAAGTCTTAACAACGAAGTGTTACATTATTACCCTTCGAACCTTCATTTTAAAAATGCTAATTATTTCGAGGCCTTCATCTTCAGAGTACCGAAATTCAGAGTACCGAAATAGATTATGAAAATATAATTTTAAATATCATGATACATTTTTTCATGTATGAATGATATATTCATGTATGAAAAAACACAAGACGTTCGTAAGTTTAATTAATACAAGAATTTAATCTAGTAATATTCATAGGTTGAGGTGAGCTTTGATGAAGTTAGCCTTAGTAAGAGACTAGACAGACAGACAGACTTGCAACGAGAGTTAGCTGAGTTTCCAAACTTTTCAATGCATACTCGTTTGAAAGAACGACTCGCGTCTGACACATTTAGTTTGAGCTTTTCTTAGAAACAAGTCAATCAAAAAGCTGGATCAAAAAAATTTCAATGAAATATATTAAATCGGCGGAATCTAACGTGAACACTTATTATGGACCCATTTTTTTTAAAATGAACAGTCCTTTTAAATACCTTCAACACTTGAATGAAAAATTTGTCAACGCAAATGCGTGTAATACTTGAAGCAACACGCCAATAAGTGATACACACACATACAAGTATGTTTTGAGACAAATCAAAACTTGAAACAATAATCTCCTAAACATAATTGTATTGGTGTAAACAAAAGATTAGTAGTAAAGAGTTATTAATAGTAGTAATTGGTAGAAAGTAACAATAATTTTTTGTCAATACTTGCATTCAATTATCGCGTTCAATTTTTTCTACTATATCTGCGTGTAAACAGTGGCTTATAATTCTCGATGGTCTTGAATTATTGGGCTTAATTTATTGCATTCAATTATTGCTATTGTATGTACAAGAAAATGGCATCGTGTAAATGGGCCTTATGTGTCCATATTTTAAATCATTAGAAAACATGAAAATCTGTCACATATTTTAACAACTCCGAGAAGGTCCATCGAGTCTTGAAATGTTTTTATAAACTTACGGGGCACTCGGGTGAGAGTTGAGACGTACACGCGGACTCCATTAGCACTCGGTTTAATTAGGAAACTATTAACCATAGACATTTTCCTCCTTAAATTATCAATTTACCGCTGATTTTTGCGATTATGTGCCAATGGATTGAAGCGGAGTACAACAAATTTAACGTATGAATTATTATGTTATGTATGTTTAACGTACGAGGGGCGATATCCTGGGTGAATGTGAAGTTATTTAAATAACATTCCCACATATCTACATTTTAGCGGTTTGATTGTTCAGGGCGTGACCTCAGGTACAACTTCTCTCTTATTGGTTAAATTTCCTCCACCCTGTTCCATATGATAAGCTTGGATGTTCTAAAATATTTATGTTACATATAGTTATAAAGTAAGTTAGTAAGTATTTCTTATAAATATTAACTATTACTATTTATATGTATGTATATGTCGCATGTACTACGCGACCAAATTACCTTCATGTACAGAGAAAATAACAACATTTGGGAGTCAATATATACTGAACAAATTAACCGGCTGTGTCATGTCTAAAATTAATAACAAAATAGACCTTTTAATCATACAAAAAAATAGAACAGTGCTAGCCTTATATTAATTTAAAGCCTCTATCGTATGCAGTATGCGTTTAAGAGAAGATTAGTCAGTCCGTAACATGTAATAACTTTTTTGGAAAAACATTTTATATACACGTATGACATAATTATTCCGTAATTACAATATGAGAGAGAATGAAAGCAGGAACAATTAAATAAAGTATAAAATGTCGTTTACTCGCAATATTGGCATCCTGCAAGGAATGTTTAAAAGAACAGAAATTTGAGATGAAGTTCGAGGACCTACTGCTGTTTAGAGTCTTTAATCTGAATTATATCTATTGGACATGTTCTCGTGCATTTTACTTAAATAATTCTCTCAGTCCATATGAGTAGAGGTGGCTTAGTATCGTTGCAGTTTCATTTATATGCCGCCGTTTTCCTTTTACGATTATAAAGCTCGTGCATCGCAATAAAGAAGGAACTGCGCGCACTTTACGATCGCCGGTCTACGGCGGACTTGGGTCAACGACGGCGACCTTCTGGTCACAGCTTTAGCACAAACCCGCTTCTTAAAAGAGCCATTCACGCTTTTAATTAATAGTATTCCACTCTTTCTAGTATGCATAATTATTTGTTCTTTACATAATTTAGTTCTTTATTGAGTAGGCTACTTGTTAACTATGTTAAGACGCAATTAAGAATTTCATGAGGGGATTACTCGTATTATTTTCCCCTATAATCGATCCTTAATTCCGCGAAACGATATATATATATATATATATATATATAAAATACCATAAGGGAAAAGGTGAACTTGTGGTATCTTCTACTATCACAATTTTCTTGTAATAAACACAAGCAAGTTGGTAGAACATCGTTGCAGCCCTATTTCACTCAATAATATTGATGCGCCATATATAAATACCGCCACCACTATAAGTTTAGCTATTGACAGAGTAACAGTCTCCCCCATCGGTCTAACGATCACTCAAATGAAACCGAAATGCGGAATTCATGATGGCTTCATTAATTCTCGTTCGGTAGGGCCCAACTAATTTACGAAATGAATGCTCCGTGTTGCGTTCGCCTTGTGCACAGCGATCGCTATTGATAGTGCGAATTATTTAATACGCCGGACGTGGGGCTGGGCCGCGTGCGCGAATTAAGCGCGCCAACGGACCGAACAAACAGCTTACCGTTCGTATCGGCGGCTATTCAAACATGTTATCTATTTGCACAACCATATACAGATGAGTGAATGACGAATGTGGCCCGCATTATGTTTGGACGGGGATGGGATGGGACCCGCGGAGCGAGCGCGTAATACATTCAAAGACCGTTTCTGCCGATAATGGTTACAGCATATTTAATTCTACCCGTCAAGGAATCCTTTTAGTAAGTTTTTCATAAAGTCTCAAAATTACCCCGTGAGCTAACATGTCGGCGCAAGAGGGGGCTTCTGGCCCCTTTAAAACGACAAGTAGTAAACGCATCCGCCTTGAAAAGTTTGAGCCCGGAGAGTAGAGCTAATAAAGTAATAGGTATCTCGGAGCTGTAAAATGGCAAATTCATGAGATGAAAAGTATAAAGTCGCGATCTATTCACGTAAATATATATTACTAGCTGAGCCGGCAATCGTTGTTTTGTGGAATTTCGTAAAATCCGTTCTTAGCTGACCTCTACTCGGCGAGGGGAATATTCCTCCCAAATTTCAAGTGTCGCCTTCTGGTTCCAGAGATATCGTGATCAGTCAATTATCGGTGGAAATCTCTTATACAGCGTGTCGTTACCATCGCGACAATAAATGAACACACATATAGGGGATAACTTTTTAAAGTTGTATTAAACATTTACATTCTTTAAACATCAATATTTACAGAGTTATTAAATTTTCCAAAACAAGGAATTTTAGAACACGCTTACCTATAAAAGCGTAACGTAAAGTTCATTTGTAAAGGTCACAAAGCATATGAATGGGTTGAATGAATTTAAAAAGAGACAAAACATACTGTTAGAAGGAGAGGCTTGTAATACGACGCTGTGGCGCGAGTTGTATAGGATGTTACTAATTTTGTTTCTTTTTTTACTTAATTAGTTTGTTTGAAAAATATTTTTTTTTAATTATGGTTTTTTTTAACGTTAATATTTTTTTATGATTATTGGCAAGTAGCGTTAGACGTGTGTTCATTTATTGTCGCGATGGTAACGACACGCTGTATACATGGAATACAAATAACACCTAGTTTTGAAATCGAGTACGTGATGCGCGTCATCGTGCGATCACCCACTACTACATCATCCGCATTTATTATAAAAATCCTTGCTTGAAGTTCCAGCTGTGATCACTTTGAGTATAGCGAAACAACTTTACTGTGGTAGGGCCACGCAACAGCTTCGGCTGTTGCATGAATGGGCAGGTCCGTCCGGGTAAGTGCCCGGACCACAACCTCGCAAAAGACCAGCGTGAAGTGCATGTGTCATACTTCTGCGTTTCGTCTGGTGAGTGAGGTAGCGGGGGCCCACTTTATTATAAGGCGGCAACGCATCTGCAACCCTACATGTGTTGCAAATGTCCATGAGCGGAGGTTATCACTTATCGTCCGTGTTCACCCTTAACATCAGGTGTGTTTTTATGTGAGAAGTCGTGCACTAGTTTCTTTGTATCTCCCGTCGTAATAAACCATTTCATGAGCTAGCTTGACATCCCTTCTGAAACTTGAGCGCTTCGTGAAGGCAAACCCGAAATTCGACCAACGCTAACGGTATTGCACTTTATATATTGGTGAAGTTGAAAAGGCAGCCTAAATATCCCCCATGACCAATAGCGATCGAGTATTTTTAGGAAGTGTAATATCGGGACACGGGACAAAAGGTGGTATGGTATAACCGTACTTATCGCGCTGACACATTACAACTTTTGTGTCAACAAGCCACCGCAACAGTTTTCAACCTCACCAACTCAGTATTGCGATATACTTTACAAGCCTTGAACGTCTTCAATTAAACATTGTCTAGTATATATCACCCTTACGTACATCTCGAGTACTTGCGGTTCCCTTAAAGCTTGTGAACCGATGCCATGCGAAAATTTCCAAAATCTGACCAAGTGGCTATATCCAAAATAGCCCTGACTTTCTAGAACGTTCTAAATAAACTCGGCGAATGATAGTGGGCACTTAACTGACTACGACATAAATACCCTCGCGAAACTGCAGTATGAAAAATTTTCCTTTATAAATAATTGAACTCCTTTCCGTCAATGACGAAACCTGCTTCTTTTATTGTTGGAAAAAACAGCGGCCTTGAATTTGAAACAGTCTCGATTTTATTTACATAAAATCGCATGAAGACTGCCTTGACTGATTTAATGGATTTTGATTGTTCCTTTCCAGTTCCATCTTTTGCGGACTGAAGAAATGGGCTGAAAATTATGTTATTAAGACGAAACGTTTTCTTTGAGACGTACGTGTCGGTTACCGTAACATCTGCAAATAATTTCGTCGTTTTCTTTGTTGTAGAGCTTTATAGTCAAAGCTCTTTCTTGATTATGGGTAACCACACGTACAAAAAATATGTTGAAAGGAGCTATTGTGAAACATATCTTCATAACCCTTTAATGAAATGAAAAGCGCCTCAAGCTTTGACGAATCTCTTATGTATGTATGTATACGTAATTATATATTGTTTTGTTTCATTTCAAGTGCCGTTCTAGGAGATTCTATATTGTAAACTTATCTCGGTGCTCACAGTTACTGCTTGTTAGCGGATATGCGTCCTCTCGTGGCCGTGTGTCATGAGAAAAGCAAACGGTCCAATCGACTGATAGTCTTTCCCGGCCCGCAGCGGTGCGAAAGCGGCCGAGAGCTGCGGCGGGCGAGTGCAGGAGAAGCAACGGGCCGCGGCGGGGCCGCCGTGCGCCACCGCCACCCCGCCCGCCGACGACCACACGCCGCCACCCTCCGACGGCGACGCCACACCGGTACCATTAACGTATTGTGACGGCACCAATTATGACTGATAGGTTTCATGTACGGGGTTGGGAAGTCCTTCGACGGTAGACGGTGTTGAGTGTGTTTTATTTCTAGTAAATATATAGCTTATGGGATAGCTTTCTATAAGTGAAAGAATTTTTGAAATTGATTCGGTAGTTTTTGAACTCAAAGGTTACAAACACAAAAATACAAATCTTAGTATTTGTAAATATACACAAGAGGAATGATTCTTTTATTGTCTCCTTTTTCAAATTGAGGTTTGAAGTTGTACTGGACACCCGTAGGTAAGTCGGCGGGTAGCCGCTTACCTGGATATTACCATAGGTCTGATTGCGCGAATGTAAACTACTTGCACGTCGATGGAAATTGCCAATAATTATTGGAAATTGCCACCTTGCTACCGCCCCACGATTTAATGGCGTTATAAAGATTTACTAGGATATACCTGTAATATTAGGTGTGTGAGAACTGTGTTCAGTTAAAGTTTTGAAAGGTAAGGTTTGTACGTTTGCCATAAAAAGAAGCTTGAACTTTAAAAGTCATAGAACATTTGAAAATCTTTCTAAAAGCTATGCAGCTCCTTTTAAAATGACTGTACTGCGAAGAGATTATTCCTTTCACAAACTCCTTATTATGTCAGCAGAAAAGAATACTAATTACTAAATAACACTAGCTGAGTTGAGTTCCCTGCAAAAAAAGAATCTATTTCTTTCTGTATGTGTTTAAGTACATGTCGTAACAATAATAGAGCACGCTTATTTAAAACTTATTCCAATTTAATTGATTTGTCGACTATAAAAAAGAACTTCTAAACCACTTATCACAATTTGTTTACTGAATTGAAGCTAAAGAGTTTTTTGGGCGGAACAAATAAATACAGGGATATTGATTAAAGCATCGTTCGTACGATCATCATAAATGACATACAAAAATAATCTACACACGTGGTTAGATCATTTGGCTGCGAGTCTACTTAAATATATCAAATATGCTGTATTTTTTATTCTTCATTCGTGGACAAGAAATCGATGTTTTCATTGTCAATCAAAGTAATGCAAACTATATTCCTCATGTGACCGAACAATGTTTACGACGAAAAACAGTTCAAGTTTAGCAACTATAAGATCCGTTCGTTTGAAAGTTTCGGCTTTGTACACTTATATTTGCTTCAATAGGAATAGGGTTCCATCATGCAACGGTTAATAAATAATGCATCGATGGCGGGAAGTGTCGATGACAAATTGTACAAAATGTTATGAACGTTGTATTGGCATGAGCAAGAACGCAGTTGCATGTCTTCCCACCACCCAGACAATGAATTTATTCAAGATGCAGACCACTCGGTTCGAAAATATGTACATTTGAAAGGACTAACCCATTTAAAATCCAAATCGTTTAACCTTGGCCCAAGTTGTTCAAGGAATAATAAAATTATCTTTGCCATACAGTTCGCTTTTCGATGAAATTTCACTTGGTAAATTAGTTAAGTCCGATTATTTCTTTAACTGCTCGTAATGAAAATAAAATTCACATATGTCTTGTTATTTTTTTACTTGTTTTGCGAATTTATTTGACTCTATTAACACTGACATTGAATAAACTGGACTGTGATTTAATATGACTTATTTTTGGCAACTTTCTTCTGCTGCCTACTCGAAAACTATAATCAATAAAGACTGGTCAATCCCGCTGAGATTACTTATATCCACGTCTGAAACCCCGCTCGCCAAAAATCGTTTACTACCAATATAATTTGCGTTATTACGGAAGTAATTGGTTGGTGATTAGTTGAGATAAAGAAAGAAAAGAAGAAAATTAAGTACAAGTTATGCCTTTGCGTGATATCATTTGAAATAGTGTAACTCAAACAAGTTGAAAATACATTTTCTTTATAAATGTTTCATTTTATACCTTTCATGCCTTTATGTCTCAACCAAAGCTAAGTTATCTAAGGAGCAGGGAGCAGTTATTTAATAGAGCTATTTCTATCTCCTTTGACTGCTATACAGAATTAAAAAATATTTTCAGAGAGATTTTGCGTCACTGAAGTCTTAAAATAAAATTATTCGTTTGAAAATGACAGTCGATGACAAAAGACGCTTACGCTTAGAGAGCCTTAAGAAATACTTTTTGTGAACCCAATGTCACATCTTTATTCCTGCGATGTCTAGACTTATTAGAATTTGTAAAACCTTTGAACATTTTTTTTTTTTGAATTAAACAAGTATACTTTCGGCTACACAAGAAATATTTTAGTCGCAAAAAATATTAAACCAGTCGCTTACGCAAAAACCATCCTTATCAATCTTATTATATCCTCGGTTTATTAGTACAAATTCTGTAGTCTAAGAAAAACTAATGAAACACCGAAGAAGGTTCAATTTAACGATTACACTTATGACAGCGTTTTCCTGTCTTTGTGTCTGTAAAGGAGGTATGTGTATTTACTGTCAAATGTGGATTTTTAATATGGAGAGAATGGATTGTGTTAATTAATTTATCATTGGTGTATTATACAAATGATTGCTAAATTATACTAAAATAATTTTGTGTGTATACTTGAATACTTAAAAAAAATAATTAAATATACATATATGACCGCAAAGTTTCTTTCCGGTTCTTCTCTTGCAGGTCTAGTTTAGTGAACCGGTGGTAGTTTTTGATGTTCAATAAGAGCTTAAAATAAGCCTATGTTGAATAAAGAAATTTTGACTTTGAATGACAAGGATGTGTGTGCTGTTGCTACTAATTTTATACTTAAAAACATGTGTATACATATATAATTTAAAAAAAAATAAAGTTAACAATCAGGTCAGAGGTTCTTGCCGCCTCTTCTTTGGACAGGTGTAGCTTATTAAAGCGTTGGTAGTGACGTTCAATAAGAGCCTACATTGAATAAAAGAATTTTGATTTGGACGGACATACATAAAGAGAAATTTTCAATTTTAATAAAATAACGAACCTGAATTCAAACCCTGGTGTCGGCACTGGGATTTGATCATATGTTCAGCAGTGAAGGAAAACTTCTAAAGGATAGCTGCATATTTTCGAAACTAATGAAAATGTTGAATAAAAATGTGAAATCCGCTAATCCCTGTTGGGATTGTTTAGTTGCCCGCGTACAGAGAAGGCCCTTACCCAGCAGTGAGACATTACATTTAGGCTTCCTTTTCTTCCTTTCTTCCGTTATTATTTTTTTTTACACAAACGTCTGAAAAATTTCAAAACTATTTTCTTCGAGCCCCTACTGATTTCGCTACTGATTTCTGACCGTTGATAGAACTAATTGAAAGGTCCATTATTTGGCAAATAAAGTTGAATTTTTAATATAGCCTTTTACGTGAAAACGTGACTGCTGAAAACTGTATTAGATTGTTCAGACAGAAGAACTCCATGAGTGAATGAATTTGAGGGCAGTAATGAAAGAAGCCCTATTTGTGAGTGGTAGGCAGCCCGCCGGGTGCCAAGCATCAAACCTACAAATCATCCTTTTACGTTTATTTTAAATAAATTACACGTTAGAAAAGCATAATTGCGTGTTACAATACATAGTGTTCTGTTATTATGGAACATTTGTTCGAGTAAAACTTCTTTTGTAACACGATTAGCCAACTATTATTCAACAGCTGTTTCACTTCACACGCCAGTTTAGTTCGGACATAGCTGGATGAGTAATGGTTTTAATTCGTCTGCCTTTCTGTAATTATTCGTAATCGCATCGCTTCGGTCAAAGCATAGCAGTCGGTGTTCCGAGTGTGTAGTAGTTGTTAACGCGCGCCTCCTGGCGTGATGAGGGCCACCTCACCTCACCTCACCTCACCGCACGTGCCGCAGACGGGCTCGGTGCCGGAGGCGCTGGCCACGCCGACGGGCAGCGCGCCCGCGACGCCGCTGGAGCCGCGCGCGGACGCCCCGCAGCCGAGGCCGCTGCCGATGCCCGAGTACGGCGGCTACTTCGCCCTCCTCACCGAGTACTTGCCCGACAGCAGCCAGCCGATATCCGGCTTCCACAGGTTCGCTCCCTTTCAGGACTTGGATGAGATCGGACCTATCGGAAATAGACGCGGTAGCCGTATGGAGCCCTTTTGGTGCATTGCATTGCGTCGCTATGTATTCCTTCAATAGAGTTGCAATTACTAATATCGCGAACGCTTTCAACCCAAACACAGAAGGTGGCTTTTATCTGATTCGTAATCCCCCTGACCGAGGGACGAGTGGGACTCGTTGCGCAATTTATTAAAAGATTAGGCGAGTTATGTTTCAATCCAATCTATTGTATTCGTCATCTTTGACGGGCCCTGCATTAATATCGTTATGGGATAACGAAATTGTGTATGTGTGTGCTTGCGCGTGCGTGTGTGTGTGTGTGTCGGGGCAATCATTTTTAATCCTTCCAAAAACAAATCGCGAAATAGAAAGCTTTCCAACTAACAAAACGGGTTGTTTCACTTTGGGCCCATCTTTGTACGGCAGATGCAACGTGGCGGTGATGCTCCTGTGCGACGTGGTGCTGGACGGGGTGGAGATAGACTGGTCCATACATGTGCCGCTCATGCTACACATAGTTTTTCTCGGCATGGACCATACCAGGTACCGCTACTTTCGTCAATTTAATGCAATTAAATATCAATAACCTATATATTATTATTGAACCAGAATCCTTGCTCCCATTAGTTAATGAACAATTTATTATATTAAACGCAGACATGAAACAATATTGTACTTAGATACAGCAGCGAGTCGTTATATATAAATGATTTCAAAAATGAATGAAGAGAGAATGACATGAACATCCCTATATAATTCAGCCCTCCTGTGGCCAAAGATCATCGCGATCTTTGGGCACAGGACTTTTGGGGGCCATCGTGCAGCGTGGGCGTGTGGTTGCAGGTGGATAGTGCACCAGCACTGCCGCCAACTGCTGCTGAACCTGCTGGTTGCGGTGGCCGCCCACCACGACCACCTGACGGTGGCGAAGGTGCTGCTCGCCAGCCGCTCTGCCCAGCTGGGTCTCGCCGTCAGCGCACCCCCACTGCCGCTGCAGCCCCACAACTTCACAGGTAACCTGTTCCAACTTTTGTCATCTCCTTTTTCTAGGTAGCACGGAACATACCATAGGCGCCTTTTTAACTATAAAGCCGGCCCATTGTACACATTTGTGTATTTTTGGTTGATCATACAATATCACTTTTATGCCCAGTTTCCGAAAGGCCAATCAAAGCAGCAAAATGATCAGCTGTTAATCTCTTGTTAAACTCCCTTGGGTTTCTGGAAGGTTTGTTCAAGAAAAATTAGCTAATCACTGTATAACCAATGATAATGAATGAAATGAATGATTTACTTCAACTAACTCTTTCTGTTGTATAGCTGTCCCTTTTTTAAACAAAACTTAAATTATCGTCACTATCCAGTCCTGTCACCGTGTGATTGCCAACGTAAAAATCCGAGCTATAATAAAATTTAATTTATATAAATACATGCAAAATGTCAAAAAAAAAACTTTACAGAACGTGAAAAAAATGAACTTTTATCAATAATAAACAAGTAAGTATTATAAAAAGAAAGAATCCATATTATTTATTAACTTTTGAACTGCATTTTGTATTTTTTCTAATCACATGATATGTTCGCATAATAATAAATAATAAATAGGTAATAGAACACATGAATGTCCTAACAACGTATTAGGGAATTATTGTTTATTTTTAATAAAAACTAAGGTTTTTGATAAATAACATTTTAAACCAACGATTGATCGTCCAAATTGACAGATTACTAAATAAAACTTTTGACAGCTCTTTGACCACCGAAAAACGCTTTCAGAAACTCGATTTTCTGTTGATTGTCCGTTAATCAGTGACTAATTGCAAATCAAAATCAATGTTGTTGTTGACGTTCTAGCAACTCAGATCATGTTAAACAACGATTGACAAGAGATTTATCGTAAATTAAAATTGATTGCGCTTTCGGAAACTGGGTGTTAGTGTACAATAAAGAATTTTTATAATTCATTAATGTATGCACCACTATGGGTACATCTTCTACTTATGTATTCCTTAACTACTGCCCATTTAAAAGTCCCTAGTTAAATTTATCCCATGCCCATGATTATTCTTGCGTTCCAAGGTATCGTGTATTATTATTTGCTTCAGTTCTGACCGAAATAATTGAGAAAAGATGACTGAAACAATCATAAGGAACACCAAACCTTAATTCTTGTTTTGAATTCCTGAAACGATATTCCTTTTGAGGAAATTTAATCAAGGGAGACTTAATTCACCTGAGCTGAAAACGACTGCCCGGGCGGCCACATCCTAATATTAATAATAACATGTAGCCAAGTACGTAAACACACACACAGACACACGGTACCAGTTCGCCCCGTTCTGCATCGTGAAATTAATGATTGCTTTTAGACCATTGATACGCCCACTGAGCGCCATTTCAATCCCCGTCTAGCCGCACGCCTATTGCCGCGGCCGACCGATATCGCTTTGTTTGTCATCGACATAATCAACTGGGTGGGGTTCATTTGTCCACCCAAAATCACTGTCACAAAAGACCCCCGCTACTTACAAAGTGTATAATACGTGTCGCCAGTGAGGGCGATGACGAATTTGATCATGCAGTATGGAGTACCCTTGCCATGATTCCCCCACAGACCTCTCATTTTCCGTTATAAACGAAGTTCATTAATGAGAGGCGGCGGGCGAGCGGCGATCGATCTGCGTCCGCTACTTTCCGATTCCATCGTCAACGGCTCACTACCTATTGGATCCCCATGGGGTTTTTTTAACCGACTTTAAAAAGAAAGAGGTTATACTAGATCGAGAGATTTACCATATTGAAGTTGTAGAGATCCCTACCTAAAACGGAATAATGTAATCTAAGGTATCTAAATGTTTTAATAATTCCGTTACATACAGACATAGATACATACAAACCAAGCTAATAAAAGCGTGTAGAAATTCACCTTATTCACCTCTCATCTCTAGATATGGCAGTACTAGGTATTGAAAAAGTTTTATTGAATTGAATTTCATTTCTTTAAAAAAAATGTTTTGAATGTCGTATTTAGCTGTACCTACAGAAAAAAATTAAGAGAGGTTAACACGATCACCACTGTTCAATTTTAAACTCGTATGAGCTTTTTGATGTTTCTATAATATTCAAATGTCTTTGCAAACCAGAAAGTGGATATAAATCACATTCTCAACTTTTATGTGGCAGGATAAGCTTCATGCACCAACAGCGTAGAAATTAGGTGCTTACTGCTAAAAATGACCAACTTGTTTAGTTTTTATCAAATGGTTCACAATTAACTAATCAATTTCAAAATAAAACCAAAGCCTAATATGAAACCTAATTGTATTGTGGTAAAAGCAGACAACTAAAACTGTGGCCGTTTTAAATTACATGAGCGATGTTGGGCGGTTTTGTAAGAAAATGGCAAAATTTTTGAAACGAAGTTTTTAATCGCATGGTACGGACTTGACAGACGAGGTAAGCAAAAAAGTGTAAGGATTTTCCGTCATGACCGTAGACGGACAGATATATGCAAAATGTGAAAGAGAAATTGGCAGACTATTTGACAGCGCGGTTTCCAACATTACCGTATTAAAGAGTAGTACCCGGAGGAGGAGGTTTGTTGCTTTTTTTGGTAATTCGTGTGTTTTGGAAATTACATTTAGATACAAATTACTGTGTAATGAAATATGCATAATATGTTTCGATCTTACCGACGTAATAATAAGAAAATATGAACTGATGTTTTTCACAAAAGAAAGAATTTAAAAAAATAACAAAATAACAAATCGACTAAAAATAAAAAATAAAGAAAGCAATGATCTGTAATCGAAAAAAAAGTAAAAAAATAAGTGTGTAAATGATTGTGATATGAACCACGGCCGTCTGTTTAGGGGGCCGCCCGATTACCGACCGAGCTATTATAACATTTTCTTTTGCGGCGAAATTTACCGTCATATTCGAATGACATTTTTCATTCCCTGAAAACAGGGATAAAAGGACATTTTCTAACAATGAAACCTAGCTAGATCGATTTTTCGCCCCCGAATCTACGCACATACTAAATTTCATGAAAATAGCTGGAGCCGTTTCCGAGATTCCGATTATTAACTATTATTTATCAATTCGGGTGTTTATATTTTTTTATGTATGTTCGGGCATAACTTCGTGATATATAGACGGATTTGTAAAATTCTCTTTTGTTCGAAAGGGTTTCATTCCGAAATGGCCCCATATAAATTTCTTATATCCCATATAAGGTTCTTTTTTTGTTAAAGAACTTTTTATTGTACGTCCTCATTGGTTGGTATACATTAAGCTAAGTTATTCAACTATTTCATAAGTTTAATACAAAAAGTATTACGATTACAGAACACAAATTAACAATTTTTCTACATATTTTAACACAAATTAACCAATTTAATAATTTGGGCCACTACCGCGTCGCGTTCATTGTTAATTATTGCTTCATAATTTATGTACTGTACTTTACTTCGCCGAGAGAAGAGTTTCTTCCTTCTTGACGGTTTTTTCTTTACCTATACGAGTACTTAAAAATACCCTTTACTAAGTATTCTATATTTCATTTAATGAACAGATGTGTGTAGAATTAAACACAGTTCATGTGTCCATAATAACATGATAAAGTACCAATTGTCATTTCGAAAGTTTAACAAATAATAGTAAAAGAATAAATTAAACAAAAATATACATTAACTGTAATTTTTTAATTATCACATACACACATTACATAGAACATTGATAGCAAGCGTTTTTCTTATTTTACATACAGGGGTGCTACATAAATCTATTTTAATTTTGAAACATATTAGGTTAAAATGTTACATTATTTATATTTATGTTATAAACACACATTTTTCAGAAACAAAGAGAATTGCCACGGGAGAATAAAATCCATGTCAAAGGGCCTAGTAACTTGGTAATGCTTGTCTAGTAACGTGACGGTTAGTGTAGAATGCCCCGCCCAAGGCCGCTAAAAATAGCATAGACTTGACAAGCTTGTTGCCAAACGCTGAGAGTAAGAGCGTCCGCCCACCGCGCCCAACGCACCTCTCCTCCATCCGGCACGTTTACATCACTCAGCTGTTGTTTATTATTTTGTTAACAGATAGCTGGATAACTGCTTATATCTGTATCAATTACACAGATAGTACATCCCCTGTCCCCCGCTCGAGACTTCGCTGCATCAACAGCCCCACCCATTCGCAAAGGAACGCAGTACCAGCGCTCCTCTTCCCCCGCGACTCCACCTCGGATGTCGAGGACTTGAAGATTGGCTCCATCTGCCACCCTGATTCTGTCCCCTCCTTGGTCGCACCAAAGTGGGCCCGATGTGGCCACTTGTAGTAGCCCTGTCGGAACAAGCTCATCCGCCAAGTACAACTACAAGGCGTAGCGGCTTAACGGCTGACGGAATGGGGGCCGCTTTAATCCTGCCCCGCTGGCCGAGCGGTGCAATCGGATGCAATATTAAGGAGTGCAGTAGTATTGTTGTCTCGGGAAACCTATCGCCGGCCACAGTTGGTTGACCGGTCGCACCGTGCAAAATCTGTCCGTCTCGGACCTGAAATGTGTAACACCGCCAATATTATACACCTATCAAATTTTGCACAGATAAATTTTGTTAATAAGGAAAAAGCGTATATATTTATAATATATATATATATATATATATATAGTGGTCGCCACTCGAGAACCTTTTCTCCCCATCGGTCATCAGTTCTTCGAGCGATGTGGCCCAATTTATATATAATGATATGAAATTAAAAAAGAAATGCTACATTTTTTTTACGCGAAAAGTTGTTAAACGAGCAGGCGATTCACCTGATGTGAATACCGCCGCCCATGGACATCTGTCACACCCGAGGGTTACAGATGCGTTGACAACCTTTTGAAAATTGGGCTCAGGCTACCTCACTCACCAGACGAAGCGCGAAAGTATTTGTTATACTTCCACTTTACGCCGGTCTTCTGTGATGTCGTGGTACTTACCCGGACGGGCTTGCCCATTCGT